CTGATAGTATTTCATTGTATGACTGTACAATAACGCAGTTAACCAGACCCTTATTGATGGGCATTTATGTTTTCTTCAGTCTTACACAGTATTTAATCTGTGTTGCATGGTTCCTTTGCACATGAACTGATATATTTATTTGATAAATTCTTAGAAGTAGAGTTGCAGGGTCAAAGAGTATGTATGTACCTTTATAATTTTAATAGGTATTACAAACTACCCCCCCCCCAAGAAAGGTTACACTTTCACTAGCAATGGAGGAAAACGGTTCACTAGAGAGCAAGCCCATGGAGCTAGCCTGCCTGTGAGCACTGTGTCATTGTGTGGGTAGTATGTTATATTTCTCTTTAGTAGTTTTTCATATATTTAAAAGCCATTTGCATTTCCTTTTTGATGAATTGTCTTTGTTTTCTTCCTGTTTAAATTTTTGGCCTTTTTATTTTTTGAAGGAATTCTCTGTATATTAAATTAGTTCTTAATGTATGCTATGTGAAGCAAATATTTTTTCCTTCCGTTTCTTATTTTTAACCTGACTTGAATAATTTTTTCTCTTATTGTTGTTAGTTATTTTATAACTATCTTAGTTTATTTTATAGCTTTTGGATTTTCTTGCTTTTGTTATATTTATATTTTTCTCACTCTGAGTTTATTATAGATATTCTGTTTTCTTCTAGTATTTTTTAGTTTCATTTTTTTACGTCTTAATCTCTGACCTATCTGAGATGCCTTTTGACATATAGGTTTCCAAGTAGGTTTCTGAAGTTGCTAGCTGGAAGTTTCAAGACCAGCCTGGGTAATATAGTGAGACCTTGTCTCCACAAAAGTTAAAAAATTAGTTGAGTGTGGTGGTGCGTGCCTGTAGTCCCAGCTACTTGGAAGGTTGAGGTGGGAGGATTGCCTACACCCAGGAAGTTGATTGTGCCACTGCACCCCAGTCTGGGCAACAGAGTGAGAGCCTGCCTTAAGAAACACACACACACACAGAGAGAGAGAGAGAGAGAGAGAGAGAGAGAGAGACAGAGACAGTGGTCCCTTGAGACTATAATGGAGCTGAAAAATTCCTGTTTCCAAGTGATATCATAGCCATTGTAATGTCATAGAGAATTGCATTTCTGTTTCAAAAAAAAACTCTCAAACTGGTTTTTCCTGCATTCTCACACCAGCACAACAACCCTCAACATAGAGAACTTCTATGAACAAATGTGTGGGGATTTCTCCCTACCACCAAGTGAGCGATCAGTTCTGCAGTGGCCCCCTACTGGACAACCTTTCAATTCTGACACTGTCGACCTGGAGATAGTGTCAGACCTCACAGACACCAGTCACAAGTCCATTATGCCTCTGGAACTTCTGACTGACTGGCTTTAAGTTAGGGTTCCCACGACCCCCTCTTTGTTTTCAGTTAATTTTGCTGGAGTGGCTTACAGAACTCTGGAGTGGCTCAGGACTTACTTATGTTTACCCGTTGTATGAAGGATATTGCAAATCACATAGTTGAACAGATGCATAGGGTGAGGAATGGGGGAAAGGGCGCAGAGTTTCCATGCCTACCCTCCCTGGGCTCCACCCTCCAGGAACCTCAGCATGTTCATCAGCTATCCAGAAGTTCCTGAACTCTGCCCTTTGGGATTTCTATGGAAGCTTCATGGCATCAGTATTGCTTTGCCCAGACTACATGGGGGAAGGAAATGAGGGTTGTATGTCCATCATCACAAAGGGAAAGATTAGAGTCCTGCCTTGGGGCAGGCGAAAGGAGGATGGACGGGGAAGGTCAGAGAGGTTCTGTTTTCTGACACGTAACACACTCAGCGATATAACAAAAGATATAAGGGCTATGGGAGCCAGAAGCCCTGGAGAAAAACCTATATATATATAAACATCACAGTTACGCATGTGTTTGTGGTGATGCTGGTGTAAACCAACTTACTGCACTGTCAGTAACACAGAAGTATACCCCATACAGTTATGCACATACATGATACTTGATAATGATAATAAATGGCTCTTACTGGTTTATGTATTTACTATACCTTTTATTGTTATTTTAAAGTGTGCTCATTCTACTTATAAAAGGAAAAAGAGTTAGCTTTAAAACAACCTCAGGCAGGTCCTTTAGGAGGTATTCTAAAAGAAGGCAATGTCATCCTAGGAGATGATAACTCCATGTGTGTTATAGCCCCTGAAGACCTTTCAGTGGGACAGAAGGTGAAGGACAGTGATATTGATGATCCTGATCCTGTGTGGGCCTAGGCCAGTGTGTGTGTGTGTGTGCGCGTGTCTTACCTTTAACAAAATGTTAAAAAAAAAAAATGTTTTTTAATAGAAAAAGTTTGAGGATATAAAGAAAATCTTTTTGCACACAGCTGTTTTAAGCTAAGTATTACTACAAAAGAGAGAAAAAAAAATTTAAATCTCTAAGGTAAAAATGTTATAGTAAGCTAAGTTTAGTCTTTTATTTTTTTTGGAGACAGAGTCTCACTCTGTCACCCAGGCTGGAGTGCAGTGGCTCAGTCATAACCCAAACTCCTGGCCACAAGCGATCCTCCCATCTCAGCCTGCCACAGTGCTGGGATAACATGTGTGATCTACTCTACTTGGCCATAGTAATTTATTTTTGAAGAGAGGAAATTTTAAAAAATTAATTTATTGGTTTTTTTGTTTTTGTTTTTGTTTTGTTTTTGAGTTGGAGTCTCACTCTGTTGCCCAGACTGGAGTGCAGTGGCCGTTCCCGGCCACCACAGCCTCGACCTGCTGGGCTCCGGCGATCCTTCCGCCTCAGCCTTCCAAGTAGCCGGAATTACAGGCATGCGCTACCACGCCCGGCTGATTTTTTGATTTATTGTAGAGATGAGGTCTCGCTGCCCAGGCGGGTCTCGAACCCGCGGGCTCAGGCAATCCACTCACCTCAGCCTCCCAAAGGCGCGGGATTACAGGCTGAGCCACCGAGCCTGGCCTAAAAAATAAATTTATTGTAGCCAGAATGTACAGTGTTTATAAATTCTACAGTGGTATACACTAATGCCCTGGGCCTTCACATTCACTCTGCACTCACTCACTTACTCACCCAGAGCAACTTCCAGTCCTGCATGCCCCATTCATGGTAAGCGCTCTAAACAAGTGTATCATTTTTCATCTTTTATACTGTATTTGTACTGTGAGATATGTTCAGATATGTTTGTGTCCAGATATGTTTAGATACACAAATACTTACCGTTGTGTTATAGTTGCCTACACTATACAGTTGCTGTTCAGTTGCCTATGCTATGCATGTGTGTAGCCTAGGAGCAGTAGGCTATACCATACAGCCTAGGTGTGGAGTCGGCTATACCATCTAGGTTTGTGGAAGTTTACCTGATGTTGCACAACTAAAAAATCACCTAATGACTCATTTCTCATTTTAAATGAGTCATGTGTTGCTTAACAATGGTGGCACATTCTGAGAAATGAGTCATTAGGTGATTTTGTAGTTGTGCAACATCAGGTAAACTTTCACAAACCTAGATGGTATAGCCGACTCCACACCTAGGCTGTATGGTATAGCCTACTACTCATTTAAAATAAATTTTAAAAAATTAGCCGGGCATGGTAGCGCGTGCCTGTAGTTCCAGCCACTTGGAAGGCTGAGGATCACTGGAGCCCAGGAAGTTGAGGCTGCGGTGGCCGGGATTGGCCACTGCACTCCAGTCTGGGCGACAGAGTGAGACTCCAACTCAAAAAAATAAAAAAATAATAAAATAAAATTAAAAAAGAAAATGCTACAGTGAATATTTTAGAAAACCAATTCTTTATAATCAGTAATCCGAAGCCTTTGTGGATATATACAAGTCAACATTTATCATCTCCATTTTCAAAGTTATTTAAACCTTCATCTTGCTAAGCTGCTTCAGAGTCAATGTTGGAAAAGTCTGCATGTAAAGAAGAATAATCCATGTCACTGGGATTCTGAGGATTGTTAGGATTGTGAGCGAGTGGAGCAAAACGTGCTTTCTTATTAGGTATCATATGTAAAGGGCTGTTCCCAAATTTCTGAAGCACATAATAATTCTGGTGTGAAAACTATATCTGATTAAAAGAGTAGTAGGCTGGGAACCTGTGAAAGGAAGATTTTTATCTTGTTAAGCTGAGGCTACATCATTATTTATAGAAATCAAGAACTAATGCTTGCACTGTGGTGTGTTAAGAAAATCGGTCCGTTTAACTTGGTGATGCACCTGAAATTTTAGGTGATGACTGCAACTTTCCTGAACACCCAGGAGGCACTAGCAGAACTGTGTAGTTCTTTGTTAAACTCAACTTCTGTTCTTACAGTGGGTTTTCCCTCCTGCCCCTCTTGGTCCCCAGGGAGCGTACCTACAGACATTTTTCATGGGCTTGTGGCCCATCTTTGAATCCTGACCCCATCTGCATTTGGAGGCTGCGCTCAAAGGGTATTAAGCACATTTAATCCCTGCCAAGGGAATAAGACAACTCCAGAAAGAAATATAGAAGTAAGGTGTTGCCTGTTCTAGGCTTTGCATTTCAGCAGGACCCTCAAAGTTTGAGCTGAAAGGACTTAGTTCTGTGGGGAGGTTTGAGGTATCACCCAGAGCTGGCAACCTCTCTTGGGACACCTGTGCCTCTCCACTGTGAGCTGCTGTCCTCTCTGCCTCTGCTGGAGGCCATTCGTGCTGTGGTCTATGTATAAAGCCACATATGCTTTCCTTCTCTCCTTCGGAATCTTCCATGTCTGCTGGATGAGAAAGACATTTCACTAAGGAGGGCAGGCAGTTGGCTTCTAGGTTCAGAATCACAGAATGTCAGAGCTGAAAGGAACCATGTGAGCCCGTTTATTTTGTAATTGATGTCTTTAGCTTGCTTTTTCTCTCTGTGTTTTATGTTCTTGTACCATTGGGGTGTTTTTAACACCAGTGGCATTGTTTTTCGTTTTCTTGGTGCCAGACAAGCTGGGATATTGTAGAATGTATTTAGTTTTAAGGATACCAAATGTTCTTTCCTTCTAGATCATATCTAAACTTTCCTTGCCTACTCGTGCCTGGGAATCAGCCATGAAGCAGAGTTTCGCCTTTGACAATGTTGGCTACGAAGGCAGTCTGGATGGCCTGTGCCCTTCTTCTCAGATGACCATCAGCACGATCAGGATTTTGGGCATGACTTGCCAGTCATGTGTAAAGTCTATTGAGGGTGTGATATCTGGTTTGAAAGGCATTGTGAACATTAAGGTCTCCCTGGAACAAGGCAGAGCAACTGTGAAATATGTGCCATCGGTCGTGAGCCTGCAACAGGTTTGTCATCAAATTGGGGACATGGGCTTCGAGGCCAGCATTGCAGGAGGAAAGCCTGCTTCCTGGCCCTCAAGGTCTTTGCCCACCCAGGAGGCTGTGGTCAAGCTCCGGGTGGAGGGCATGACCTGCCAGTCCTGTGTCAGCTCTATCGAAGGTACGATCCGGAAACTGCAAGGAGTAGTGAGAGCCAAAGTCTCACTCGGCAACCAAGAGGCTGTCATTACTTACCAGCCTTATCTTATTCAACCTGAAGACCTCAGGGACCATGTGACTGACATGGGATTTGAAGCTGCCATCAAGAACAAAATGGCTCCCCGAAGCCTAGGACCAATCGATATTGGGCGATTACAAAGCACTAACCCAAAGAGACTTTCAGCTTCTGCTAACCAGAATTTCAATAATTCTGAGACTTTGGGGCACCAAGGAAGCCAGGTGGTCACCCTCCAGCTGAGAGTAGAAGGAATGCACTGTATGTCTTGTGTCTTGAATATTGAAGAAAATATAGGCCAACTCCCAGGAGTTCAAAACATTCAAGTGTCCCTGGAGAACAAAACTGCCCAAGTACAGTATGACCCTTCCTGTACCAATCCAGTGTCTCTCCAGAGGGCCATTGAGGCGCTTCCTCCTGGGAACTTTAAAGTTTCTCTTCCTGATGAAGCAGAAGGAAGTAGGACTGGTCATGAGTCTTCCAGTTGTCATACCCCTGCCAGCCTCCAGAGAAACCAGGTGCCGGGCATGTGCAGTACCACAGTGCTCACCATTGCTGGCATGACCTGTGTGTCCTGTGTCCAGTCCATCGAAGGCTTGATCTCCTATCGAGAAGGAGTGCAGCAAATAACAGTATCTTTGGCAGAAGGGACTGGAGTGGTTCTTCATGATCCCTCTGTAATTAGCCCAGAAGAACTCAGAGCTGCTGTAGAAGACATGGGATTTGAGGTTTCAGTCATTCCTGGTATGTAGTCGATGTATGTTTGATGTACGTCCTTGGATCGGTTCTTATTCTCTTTTTCTCTGTCTCATAACATAGTTCCTGGCTGCTGGGATAGGTAAGCCCTGTTCACTGCCTCATGTCAACAGTTTAACAAAATCTTGCAACTTTTCCTCATGTGTTAAGTCTATCAAGATAGAGAAAATGCAATTTCTAAGGTACAGATTTTGCCTTTCATGTATGGAACTTTGTATTAGTCCATTTCCTGTTGCTTAAAAAGAATACCTGAAACTTGGCAATTTATAAAGAAAAAGAATTTAATTTTACAGATATGGGAAAGTCCAGGGCCGAAGGGGTACATCTGGTTGGCACCTTCTTGCTGGTGAGGACTCCTTAAAGTTGGCACAGGGTATCACAGGGCCCTGAGTATGCTAACATGCTTGCCCAGGTGCCTCGTCCTCTTCTTATAAAGTCAATAATACCACTCCCATTAATCCACTCATGATCCCATCAGCCTTCTAAAAGCTCCACCTTTTAATACTGCCACATTTTGGGGAACATAGTCAAACCTTTGCAGACTTAAATGCTAACCCCCTTGGATTTGGGCTTCTTTTCTGGAGAGAATTCTGATTCTGAAATAAAGCACCGTGGGAACATCAGGCTCCAGTCTTACCAAAGGAATCATGATCACTTTCTCAAAAGATTTCTTCTCTAAACAAAGCAAAATAATAAAAACAATAGAACCTAGTCTTAACACTTAGAGACCATTCTGTTAAAAGTGGGGATTAAGGAAAGGTTTTATCCATAATTTTCCCTTGGCAGCTGTAGGAGAAGAGGTACGGTCAAGGGAGCAACCAGTGGGTTCTAATTAGAGGAAGCACAAGGTGAAATTCTGTTTTAGAAGACCAAGCTGGGCTGGACACAGTGGCTCAAGCCTATTATCCCAGCACTTTGAGAGGCCAAGGCGAGAGGATTGCCTGAGCTCAGGGGTTTAAGACCAACCTGGGCAACTTGGTGAAATTTCATCTCTACTACAAATAAAAAAATAAGTCGGGCATGGTAGTGTGTGCCTGTAGTTCCAGCTACTTGGAAGTCTGAGGCAGAAGGATCGCCTGAGCCCAGCAAGTTGAGACTGCAGTCGAATGCATGAGCATGCCACTGCACTCCAGCCAGGGTGACAGAGTAAGACTCCAACTCAAAAAAAAGAAGGCCAAGTTGGTGTCAGCAAGCAGTTATGAATCAAGGCATGACACCACTAGGAGGCAAGTGAGAGGTGTTGCAGGTCTGGAGAGCAAGACATTCCAGAGGGCAGCTCCTCCAAGCTTGGGGTCAGACCAGGGGTGTGTGATGGGGAAGAACCATGCAGTTTAGGGGAGCCAGGGATGAGGCCCCAGCAAAATGCTGGAGGACAGCGAGATAGAGGGCCTTGAATATTCAGGGTAAGTGTGGGGCTGGAAATGACAGAGACCCAGTGAGAGGGAAAGTGAGGCAGGAAGAGGAGTACAGAGGAGGGACGTCTTCCAGACTTCCTGGATGTAATGCAAGGGCTGCAGAGGCTAACATCTGTAAGTGTCTCAGGGTTGTCTAGAAGGATGCTGTTCGGAACCCTGGAAGGGTGGGAGCCCACCCTGCATTGTGGTGAGGGGTGGAGCCCACCAGTGGCTTAGGCTGGAAGGGATGGAGAGAATAGATAGGTGGGGGTGACTCAGGGAGGCTGAAGATAAGGAGGGAAGGCACACAGGTTGTGAGAGGCAACTGGGTGAGGTGTTGGTGGTGCACTGAAACCGTTTAGATCCCAGACACAGGTCTTGTACAACACTGAGTGACTCTGTCGTCCGGACCAGGCCATGACTGGCTTCCTCAGCCTTTTAGCCGCAGGAGGGAGCGGCAGGCTCAGCACTAGAATGGGCAGCTTTAGGGGGCATGGGCTTTGGTTTCCCACATCCTGTTTCCCATGGCCTCCGCCAAGATAATGTGTATGTCCTTGAGAAGTTTCCTTCATCGTGACTCCTTCCCGCCTCCCCTCTGTCTGCACAGCATACACTGCTGAAGGGAGTGGGTTGTCACGTGGAGTGACCTGGCCACATTATGTTCTTTGTCTTTTGCACCAAGTTTCAGGAAGGAGTTTCTTTAAAACAAAAATTAACAAGGAAAACAAAATAGAACAGTAAATCTTGTCCTCAAAAGGTAAGAAATAAGGTCAACATCTGCTGTATCGGTGTGATGCTTGATGTCTTTCAGCAGTGCAGATTACTGGTGGTAAAGAAAAATTAGCATTGAACTACATGTTACAGAATAATTGGATCTGATTCAGTAAACCTAGAAAGAAATGAACAGTGATTTTTTTTTTAATTGGGCAGAATTATGAGAATCACATTTATCCCTAAAGGTATTTAGAGTGTCAGACTTATCAATAAAATATAGGATACCCAGTTAAATTTGAATTTTAGATAAATAATGAATGATTTTTAGTATAAGCATGTTCCATACAATCAATATTTGTGACATACTTATTCGAAAAAATTATTTGTTGTATATCTGAAAGTCAAATTTAACTCGATGTCCTGTGGTTACCTGGCAGCTTTAATTTAGAATAAACCATTAGTGTGCGGCGTGTGTTTGATCGGTCCTTCTTAGTTGACGAGTCGCTCCTTGAGTACAGTCTTCAGACAGTGTGATCTGTTTCTCCTAGGAGTCCCCAGCACCCATCATATAGTAGGTGAGGTTTGTGAAGGAAATGAGAGGGACAGCAATGGGCTGTAACAAGCAGAGTCATAAGACAGCTCTGTGGAGAGATTTAATGCAGGGGAGCTAATTACAAAGGTGTTAGCTAAACATCCAAACAGGCAATCGGGAGGAAACCCCAGAGATTAACTGCTGGAACCTCCAGGCTGGAGGGTCAGAGGGAAGACAGCAGTTGCCAGAGTCCAGGGACTGAGATTGCAGCTGGAACCTCCAGGTCTGGAGGGTCAGAGGGAAGGCAGCAGCTGCCAGAGTCCAGGGACTGAGATTGCCTGGTGGGAACAGGGACCAGGAAGGGAAGGGAGAAGTAGTGGTCAGGAGTGGGGATCTCACTAGACAGATGCAGGACATCTTGGTTCCCCGCCTTTCTGTCTTACAGTTTTCCCGTTCGGTACCTTCCTTGGACCAAATGTAATCAGAAACTGGTTGACAAGGGAGCCTGGGAAGAATGGTTTGCAGGATCGTGTCTCTCCCCCACCCCTAGTGGAGCAGGGGAGGGAGGGAATGGTGTGAGAGCAAATAGGCAAGTGACAGGCATTAAAAGTCGCTCCACTAAAAATAGGTTTAGACCAGCTCTGCATTTGTTCACTGGTTTGTGTACAGTTTTTCAATTGAACGGATGCATGGATGACGAGATAATAAGAATGTTGTAAGGCAATCACTGTCATGTATAATATGTTTCTCCCACTCTTATAAATGTCGTTTCAGGAAAATTTTCCTCATCCCAGCACTAGCTGGGCCCACTGGGTCCCAGACACCATGTGACTTATTCATACTTTTACACAAAAAATAATTGAAGCATGTCATAGACTTGAATGTGGAAGTTTATTAAAACAGTAAGGCTTCTAAAAGAAAATGTCATGGATATTTTCATAATGTTGGAGTAGAGAAATCTACATAACACTATTTTTAAGAGAGGGATAATTTAGGCCCATTAACATTAAGGACTAATTTTATCAAAAGACGTCATTAGTAGAGTGGAAACACAAATTGCAGGCTGGGGGGAGATATTTGCAGTGCATACAACTGACAAGAGTCATATCTTGAACATATATATAGAACTTCTATGAAGAATAGAAGCAAGGCAGACAACTCAATAGAGTGTGGTCCTTATGGGAAGGGAGCCAGACCTCTGCTGACCAGGATGAGGAGATAGCCAAAGGGACAAACCCTGGAGGTAAACAAACCTGTAGGATTTGAGGCAAATCCATGTCTTGTAACTCATTTCTTCAACTATAAAATGAGAATAATACGTCATATTTACCACATAGGGCTATCTTATATATTAAAGGAAATCACACATCTAAAGTACTAACCAGAGTGCCTGGTGAATTATTCTTGTTATGAGCATTCACCTAACCAGAACAATCATTCTTGAAGTATTGGCATAATTTTCATATATTTGTAATTGTGTGCCTCTCTCCCTGGGTGTGGAGAAGGAGACAGAGAGATGGGAACACCAACCACCATGTAGCCTCTCCAGGAGCTTTAACAGGAGTATTGTCAGACTTGAACCTCCTGTTCTGACGAACAAACTATTATTTGTTGTTCTAAACTGAATAACTTCTGACATTGTATCCTAGAAAACTATTCTACCAACCCTGCTGGAAACCACAATGCTGGGAATTCCATGGTGCAAACTCCAGGTGGCGTACCTGTGTCTGTGCAGGAAGTGGCTCCCCGTGCAGAAGGACTCCCTTCAAACCACAACGCAGGCCACTCATCAAAATCCCTGCCATCCACTGGAGCAGTGGCACCACAGAAGTGCTTTTTACAGATCAAAGGCATGACCTGCGCCTCCTGTGTGTCTAACATAGAAAGGAATCTGCAGAAAGAAGCTGGTAAGAGATCTATACCCACCTTGAACTTGGGAATGCTTCATAAAGACCTCCCATTCAGTGTCTCCATCAACTGTGTTTATTAGTAGCAAGCTCATCATATGATAGTATAGATGGGCTGGCTGCTCATAAAATTAACCTATAATCGCCTAGTTCCTGTGTTTCTGTTCCTGACTTGAATCCCTCATTTTTATCCCTTATTGCATACTTCCTTTCTTTTTTTTTTTTTTCTTTTATAGAGACAAGGTCTCGCTGTGTTCAGACTACTGGTCTTGAACTCCTGGCCTCAAGTGCTTCTCCCACCTCAGCCTCCCAGAGTCCTGAGATTATGGCTCCTTATGGCATACTTTCTAAAGCATTTAGTTCATTTCATTTATTTGAATGAGGCTTTTTCCTCTTTTAAACTAACACAATAATTTAGCAAGATAGTCTGTGGGATTTATTTTTCACTCCTGAAAATCCTTCATAACTAAAGAAGAGTAAGGAAAACCACTTTGGAAAATTATTTCTTTATTTTTTTCTTGCATGAAAGTATCTGGAGAAAAGTATGTCCTTTCTGTGACAGCATTACTAGCTGGAAAGCACATCCCTTCCTTCATTGCTGCCTTCTGGAGCCTGACTTGTAGTGTGGTCCATGGGCGGAGCAGCATCGCTGTTATCTGGGGACTGGATACACATGGAGACTCAGCCTCATCCTAGACCAACTCATCAGAATCTCTGTTTTTCAAGGTCTTTGGGTGATTCATATGCCCGTTAAAGTTGGAGTAGCATTGATCTTCTAGAATAGTGGTTCTCAAAATTATCTTGCCTGAACATTAAAATCACCTGGGAAGTTTTTTTTTTTTTTTAAATGATGCCCAGTGCCCACCCTGAGAGATTCTGATTTGATCAATCTGGGTTAAGGACCAGACATCATGGCTGTCACAAGCTCCTCAAGTGATCCTAATATGCTGCCAAGCTTGAGAACCACTGTTCTAGAAGATTCTGGAAAGACATATTTCTTTGTCTTTAACCATATCATCCCAGAGGCCCTGCCCAGAGTATTACAGCTGTGATCTGATGGTTCCAGGTATTCTCTCCGTGTTGGTTGCCTTGATGGCGGGAAAGGCAGAAGTCAAATATAGTCCAGAGGTCATCCAGCCGCTCAGGATAGCTCAGCTCATCCAGGACCTGGGCTTTGAGGCAGCAATCATGGAGGACTATGCAGGCTCTCTTGGCGACATTGAGCTGATTGTAAGTACAGTGTCTGTATTCGGGGGCTGCAGGTTTTAGACAACTTACAGATGAGTTTCAGACAGCAGACATTTTTATGATCAGTAAATTTTTCCATCTTAGATATATCTTCTTTGTTGTTTTGGGGTTTTTTCTTTGTTTTGTTTTCCTTTGAAGCCAACAACAATGACTTGTTCATTTTGTGAAGACAGGTCAGTTATGTTAAATAATTATAGGAGGGGAACCCACTGAGTACATTCAGGGTATAAGGAGGAAGAGGCAGTGAGTCTCGGGAGTGTAGGAGAAGGAGGAGTTAAAAACAGTTAACTGTCCTGAGCTGAGTGACTTGGGGCAGGTTGAACATGAACACAGTCCTCCAGGCCTAAAGAGAAGCTAGCATCCCTGCAGATATCTCTAGGCAGAAGAGATGAATCCGCATGATAGCAAGTGCCATTCAAAGATGGAGAGGGCTTGCTCATAGGCATATAGATGTCTGGAGGGTGATTAGTGACCAAAGTGTCCCAAAACACTCAGTTTGAGGCAAATGCCTAAAGTAGTGGTTGTTACCAGTGTGATTGGGTAGTTTCTCATCAGTCTGCTATTATCAACGGCACATGTCAACAAATCATTAAAATCAAAGGCTGTGTCTGGTGCCTAGCATATGCCATGTTTGAAAGCACTTGTGTACAAAGCTCTTTCTGGGTAAACAAAGGGAGACTTAGAAGAAACCCACAGAGAACTGAGTAATGCTGGTTTACCAAGGTAAAAGGATCTTCTGCTTCCTTCATGGGTGTGGTCACTGCTGTTTGGGGTAAGCGGGTGTTTGAGGGAAAATGCCAAGGACACAGAAGCACGTGAGCTCCAGACAAGCAGCGTTCTAAGCAGGACAGACCCTTTGCCCTGGATGGGCCTCCCTGTGTGTGCAGGGACACAGTTAATACTCACTGGGCCACAGCTCAGATCAGCCCCGAGAGGGCCAGGGTCCCTGCTGCCTGATTCCAGGTCCACATGTAGACATCTCTGCCTGCTCAGACTACTGTGTGGAAAATCTAAAGCAAGAATATGACTGGAAAAGGTGAACTTTAAAAAAAATGTATTTTACTGCATTGTTCTTTGCCATATCAACAGTTACATTGTCATCACACGTTCACAGACAATTTATGGGAACTTCTGCATTTAATTGGTATTCTAGGAAATGCTGGCCACTTATATTCAGAAGAGTGAATTGTGTGATTTGTCTAACATATATTCCAGAATGGCATGTCACAATTTGCTCTCCTTTTCTCAAGTCAAGACGCACAGTGTGGTATGGCACAGTGGTGTAATCTTCAGCTGGGCTTGAATTCTGGCCCTGTCACTGCAGGGACATTTCTGAGCCTGGTCTATGAAGACTCATCTCGTGCCCCACAGTCAGCAGAGGCACAGAGCAGACTCTGGAGCCAGCTGCCAGGAGACATGCAGCTCTGCGCCTCACTGGTGGTGTGACTTTGGACATGTTCCCAAATATCTCAGTACTGCAACTTTGAGACTACCTTGAAGGGTTGGTGAGAGCAGTACAGTACCTAGGACATCACCAAGCTCATTGCAGGTGCACAGTAAAGACCACCTATCGTTATTGTAAAAATAAAAGGAGAACATAGAAGCATCATTGGCATATTTGGAGACTGGCTTAAAAATTGTATTAGCACAGCTGCCCATCAATAGGTAAGCTCCTAGGTCTGCCTGATGGTCCTTGCTTTCCAGTTTTTTTCTTGGGTCTCATGCCTAGTTGAATGCATTCTGATTGCAGATGAATTTCCCTCTCCTTCCTCCCTAATTCCAGATGGAACTCTCTTGTTTCCTTTGGTATTTATTCTGGGATTACTGATGCAGATTTCAGAGTACAGCTCCATTCAGATCGGTTGATGCCCATTACCACTCAGTGACTTCACATCAAGTGCTGGCTTAGCAACGCTTTCAGCTGGCTGCTCAAGAGCCTTCATGCTGTGGCCCCTATCGGCACTGCAGCCTTCCCTTCTCTTCCTCGCACATCCTGTGCTCAGCCAAGTCTGGCTACTGATGGTTGCTTGAGCACCTTGCACTGTCATGCCTTTTGTCTTTTCTGAGCTTTTCCTTCTATTGTTACCCTTTCCTTCATCCACCAACACCTTGTCTGTGTTTTGGTGCCACCTCTAATTCCTAAGTTCTAAGTCCTTTCCTCCTGTTGATAACAAGGTGTTGACATTATCACTCTTGAACTCTGCAGAGCACTGAAGTAGGGAGAGTGCTAGCAGCAGCTGCAGACCACATCCAGCAACACTCAGGACTGCAAAATGTTTCAGGAGTCCAGAGGGTTTTGCAGAGATGCACATCCTTAACCCTTTGGAGGCAATGATTATCCTGGTTAATGCTGCTGAGACACCTGAGACAGCAGAGAGTGGCTTTTAAAAGCCTGTCATAGCCAGGCTCAGTGGCTTAGCCTGTAATCCCATGCCTTTGGGAGGTTGAGGTGAGTGGATTGCCTGAGCCTGCGGGTTCGAGACCCGCCTGGGCTGCGAGACCTCATCTCTACAATAAATCAAAAAATTAGCCGGGCGTGGTAGCGCGCACCTGTGGTTCCAGCTACCTGGAAGGCTGAGGCGGAAGGATCACCTGAGCCCAGCAGGTGAGGTTGCGGTGGCCGGGAGCGGCCACTGCACTCCAGTCTGGGCGACAGAGTGAGACTCCAACTCAAAAAAAAAAAAAAAAAAAGCCTGCCATTATCAGAGCAGAAGTCCAGCCTGATTTGTTGCTGCCTGCTTTATGATTGGCTGTCTCCTATACCTGGGTTGGGGAGGAAGCACTGTTTATACCACTGAAGCTATTGGGGGAGTGTTGAGAATCTTCCACATGAGATTTGAAGGCAGGAGTCCCAGAGTCTTGGGAGCAGTGTTGTGGAGTGGGGAGAGGCACATGGCTGCCTCTTTCCCAAACTCCTTGAAGTGTCTTGAGCTGGGTCTGTGGTACTCTTGTCATTCTGTGTTGTAGATCACGGGGATGACCTGCGCATCCTGTGTCCACAACATAGAGTCCAAGCTCACGAGGACAAATGGCATCACCTACACCTCTGTAGCGCTCGCCACCAGCAAAGCCCTTGTTAAGTTTGATCCAGAAATTATTGGTCCAAGGGATATTGTCAAAATTATTGAGGTAAGTAATTCATTTAAAAAATTGCACTCACCTTTTTAAAAACAATAATATATAATCATTGAAGAAAAATGGAAAAATACAGCTAAGCAAAAAGAAAAACAAAATCAACTAAGATCCTGCCATTTTTGTTATGGAAATAAGTTTAATCATTTAAAAACAAACTGTGAAGTAAAGTAAATGTTAAATATCTAAGGGAGGATATCATTAAGTAGGTAAGAAAACGATAGGGGGAAAGGGCATTGTTTTAACTTCAGATATTTCCTGAGAAGTATCAGTATCGTCAGGTTGCCTGGTACATAGGGTTAAATTGCCTCATTATAATTTTAAAGTATTATTTATGCCTGAACCAAGTTTCTATAGACCAAAGGAATGTTGGTATTTGAAAGAATGATGCTGCATTTTGCCACTACACTAGGCCAGTCTTGTTGCAGAGAGTTTGATCTGCTTTGGAAAACTGGTCAGAATGTTTACGCATGCCCTGCCTCCTGCTCCCCTTCCTCAGTTTGTCCACAGACATACCATTTCCATTGCAAAGCGTGTGCTAGACCAGACTGTAAGGGAGGGAGTGTCAGTGGTGATCTGAAAGGTTAAGACAGGCAAAACTGAACAAGATTAACTTTTAACAGATAGTGATAAGGATAAATTAAGTTCAGCAGAAACTACTATTAAGAAATTGCTGGCCAAGCTCGATGACTCAGCCTGTAATCCCAGCACTTTGGGAAGCCAAGGCGAGTGGTTTGCCTGAGCCCGCAGGTTCAAGACCAGCCTGGGAAACTTGGTGAGACCTCATCTCTACAATAAATAAAAAATTAGCCAGGCATGGTAGCGTGCACCTGTAGTTCCGGCTATTTGGAAGACTGAGGTGGAAGGATCTCCGGGGCCCAGCAGGTTGACGCTGGGGTGGCCGTGAGTGTGCCACTAGTCTCCAGCCTGGGTGACGGAGTGAGACTCCGACTCAAACAAAAACAAAAAAGAAATTTCTTATGAAATGAAATATCTTGTAGCAGTCCTAACGCAATGTTGTCCTTCATTTTCTGCTCTGTGTGTGTGTGTGTGTGTGTGTGTGTGTGTGTGTGTGTTTAAAGAGGGATGCTTTTTATTGTGTGTGTGGTATGTGTTCGTGTGTGTTTAAAAAGAGATAATGTCAATCGTATGGCCTGGCAAAGCTTTTTGACATGGAAATTATGACACTGCTGATGATCAGGGTCCCACCCTAGTGGCAGACAATGCCACTACTTTATCACATGAGGAAAGGTTCTCAGAGAGATTAAGTGACTTTGCTCACCATACCCAGCTCAAGGGCGCAGACCTGGTGCTCAAACTCAGATCCTACAGTCCCCAGCACAACAGTCTTTCTCTTTCTATGACACCACAAATCTTAGAGAACAGCAGAGATATGGTATTGATGTGATCAGATGGCAGACTGATGCAGTCAACAGGGAGGAGAGTCCCGGCGGTGCCTTCAAACATGTCTCCATCACCCTATCTGATTTCTAATACTCTTGCTTGCCTCCGTGGTGCAACCTCTTCTCTGTCCTTATTGAAGGAATATTGCAAATGTCTGGCCTCCATTTTTGCATTTCTGGGGCATCTTTTTCCTAATAAGACTGGCACTAGTTGAAAAAAGAATTTGTCTTTAGACAGTCTTAGGTACTCTTTTTCCCAGCATAACTTTTAATTTTTGTGTGAAAGTCCCAGCACCACAGTTCTGGGGTCCCTTTCTAATAATGTGCTGACTGACAAGACATTTCCTTGACAGTTTTTCCTGCGTATATTCGTAAAAAGTATCAGGGACTTAGTGGTCAGGTCAAGGTGATGACAGAGGTGCTTGAGTTAACACTTACGAAAAGCACCAGATAGGACCAGGTGTGGTGGCTCACGCCTGTAATCCCAGCACTTTAGGAGGCTGAGGTGGGAGGATTGCTTGAGGCCTGGAGTTCGAGACCAGCCTGGGCAACATAGCAGGGCCCCATCTCTACTAAATAAATAAATAAATAAATGAAACCACCAGATGGAGGTACAGTTTGTTGGGCCACAGTGAAATCCATGCCTCCAGACACTGAGGGAGCTGAGATCAGCTCTGGTGGGAAGAAGCCTGGGCTGGAAGCCAGGAGGCTAGCACCCTGGATTCAGCTCTTCTGATAATGCTGGGACTTTGGGCAAGGTATTTAACCTCTCTGACCTTTAGTTTCCTCCTGCATAGCATGAAATGATTTGGGTTTTTTTGTTTTTTGGTTTTTTTTGGGTTGGAGTCTCTGTCGCCCAGACTGGAGTGCAGTGGCCGCTCCCGGCCACCGCAGCCTCGACCTGCTGGGCTCCGGCGATCCTTCCGCCTCAGCCTTCCAAGTAGCCGGAATTACAGGCGTGCGCTACCACGCTCGGCTGATGTTTTGATTGATTGTAGAGATGAGGTCTCGCAGCCCAGGCGGGTCTCGAACCCGCGGGCTCAGGCAATCCACTCACCTCAGCCTCCCAAAGGCGCGGGATTACAGGCTGAGCCACCGAGCCAGGCTATGAAATGATCTCTTAACTCAAAACTACTGAGTTTATAAGACAACAGTGATCAGCTTTGGGGCCTGGTGAAGCTATCTTCACCATTTGATGCCTTGTCCTCGAGGATGGCGCAGTCTCTATGCACAGATGGGTGCTGAACCTCTGCACAGGGTTTGTGGGGCAATTTGGGTAAAGAGGTTGGGAGGAGAAAACCCACAACAATAGTTTGAGGTGCTTTTAGATTCACCTTCTAATTTCCAAAGCCATAAAGTGCTTTCTACCAATGCATGTTTTAACCAAGTATCTTCCTCCTTGTTCCCCACCCCTCTCTTTTTAATAACAAGGAAATTGGCTTTCATGCTTCCCTGGCCCAGAGAAACCCGAACACTCATCACTTGGACCACAAGATGGAAATAAAGCAGTAGGTAGAACACCACAGATTCAACCGTAGCTCTTTCTACGTGTTGTCTTCTCCCTGGTCCGGACTCTGGCTGTGCTTGTCGCTGTGCCTGCTGGCCTGGTTTCCCATGGTGCCTTCGACCTAGATGAGTTGCCTTTACCCTTGTAACGTTAACTCTCTAAAACAAAGCTGTCCAAAAGAAGTTTCTGCCAGTCGACACTGGGACTCTGGGAGGGAGGCAGGGTGAAGGGAGGAAAGAGTTTAAAAACTACCTGTTGGGTACTGCCTTCACTATTTGAGTGATGGGCTCACTAGAACCTCCAACCCCACCATCACCCAATATAGCTGTGTAATAAACCTGTGTGTGTACTTCTTGAATCTGAAAAACAAAAAAACAGAAGATGTTTCTGCAACATTGATGTCAGGGCTCTATTTCTGCACTGACCAGTGTGGCAGCCACTGGTCACAGTGGCTAGTGAGCACTTGAAATGCAGTGAATGTGGCTGTGGAAATGAGTTCATTTTAATTTTATTTTAATTAAAATAGATACCTGTAGCTGAAGGTTAACAGATTAGACAGTGCTTAAATTGGGAGAGAGGGAGGGAATGTCGATTTTCTTCTTTGACAGTATTTTCAGACTTTACTTGCATGGGTTCTAGAACTAGGATTCAAGGACAGGCCTTAAGGTCAAGTGGAACAAAAATGGCATGGGAGCAGGAAACTTGGGTTCATTCATTGTTTCAGAGGGTCACTGACTCATTCAACAATCATAAAGGCTGCTGTGTGTGTGGAGGCCCTGTGCCGGGTGCTAGGAATGAATAGAATGTCTTCCCTGCCTTAGAGGGGCCCATAGTCTGGAATGAGTGAGCAATGACAGCCATGGTTCAGGCGGATTCTGGAAGGTCTAGGAGACCTCCAAGCAAGGGACACAAGATGAGTCTCAAAGAATGAGAGGACTTTTGGTAGGCCAAATGAGTTGGTGGGGATTAGGGGTGGCAGGCAGGAGGGAGGGTCTTCTAGGGCCTTTAGGGACTCCTGTGCTTGGCCCGATTGGCATGCCTGGGGCACGGGAGGGCCTGGCAGGAGCAGCATGTAGAAAGCCAGCAGGGCCTGGTTCTTGAGTGGCTTTGGGCAGCAGCCTGAGTGCCTGGGACTAAAACCTCACAGGCCAGTGGTGTTCAGGCCATGCTTAAGGTGAATTAGAGGCTCCACAACTGCTCTACTGGAATTCCATGCATGCTGCTACAAACATGAGACCACAGCTGTCAGCCGTGATCCCCAAATCCAAACTTCAAGACAGCCTCACCATTCTCACTGATTCTATTTTAAGTAATTTAAAAATTGAATGTATGTTTATACTAATAAAATACTGCTTTTATCCATTTTTTCTTTGGGGTCTGTACTTGAGCACATTTTGAAAAAAGAGCTGTATGATGACCAATTGTATACCTAATCCTGAATTGTACCCCACATCTTTAAAAGAAAAGAAAGAAAGAAAGAAGAGCTGAGGATGTTAGACCTCTTTGGGGCTAGAGACTCTGCTGCTGGGCCTCAGTTGTCTCACCTGTGAATTGGAGACACCGTATCAGTATGTGAGGCCAGGGAAGGGCCTAAACTTCTCCAGAACATCCTTGCTTTAGACATTCCCTCAGATGACTGGTGTCAGGGAGACAGCCTTAACTTTTGTTGTAACCCTTACTGATCTGCCACAGACATGGCAAAGTCCTCAAGAGGGGGCCAGCTCAATCCAAGTGGGCCTGACTTACCTGTGTTGTTGTGTTTGCTTTCCAGGTGGAAGAAGTCTTTCCTTTGCAGCCTGGTGTTTGGCATTCCTGTTATGGCTTTAATGATCTATATGCTAATATCCAGCAATGAGCCCCACGAGTCTATGGTCCTGGACCACAACATTATTCCAGGACTGTCCATTCTAAATCTCATCTTCTTCATCTTGTGTACCTTTGTCCAGGTGTGTATTAGAAAGATGGCAGATCTCTTCCCTCTATTCCGGTTTATAGCCAGTGGATACTCTGCCCTCCAAGGCCAAACACAACCCTTTAGCTTGGTTTAAGTGTCTCTTTATTGCAGCTTTTTACCGTATTCAGTTTGCTGCTTTTTTTCTGTCTTATGACCAGCAGGGGGAGGAGATGGGGAGGAGAAGAGAGTGAAAATCCCCTCCAACATAAGGGACTGCATTACTGTCACTTTCACTGTTGCTGCAGGTGATCAGAACTCTCTGTGAGATAGCAGCCTCCCCACTACAAGGTGTGATGAACCTGTGTGATGAACCTGTGTGTCTCCAAGCTACATATTGTTTAGCTTAATTTACCTTTGTTGTTAGAAGCAGCAGCTGGATCAGCCTGGAGCTCATGTTTCTCTTGAATGATCTGTCTGGAAAGGCAGGGATATAGTCCTTATCTTTGAGGAAATTCTAGTTTAAAGCAGACAGGCATAGGATGTCTACTCTGGTGGTGTTATTTAGGAGTTAGCTGTGCATCTGGTGGGAAGTGTGCCTTCTGTGCATATGTTTTGGAATGTAAAACTAAACTCCTGTCTTAATGTTGGAATTTAGGACTATGGGGCATGAGCATCTGTAGACTGAATTTGTTTTTCTCTATGTTTTCTTTTGGATTTCAAATGTAATGTACATTTACTGTAAACAATTCACGCCACACTGAAGAAGAAAAGGGGAAGATATTCTTTCACAAGTCACATCCTGCCTCCGGGCCAATCCCATTCCCCAGTGTTGCCACAGTATTATTAATAGTAGGGCATGTGTCTTTCCAGATCTTTATTTAGAGAAAATGCACACTTGTGTGTTTATAAACTGAAATGGGATCTTATAACATACACTGATGTGCAGCTGACTTTTTCACTTAACCTTGTATTATGGACATCTTTTATGCAGTGGTTTATAGAGAGAACACATTCTCCTTAGGGCTGCATAGCACTGTCCAAAGTAGAAATGAATCATAACTTTCTCCCACCATTTTCACCATTCTCCTATTAATGGACATTTGTGTTGTGTGCTCTGGTTTTAAAGGTGTCACCTGTTCTTGGTCATTCATTCCTGTGGCCAGGAGTCCTCTGAATCAGAAAATAACTTTCATAAGCGTTAATCACAGAGGAGGAAGTAATGTCAGAACCAGGCACAGAACTAGAGTCTTTGCCGTCCCGAGGGCCCTTGGCCCTGAGTTGCTCATTGTTCTCTCCTCCCTGCTGGTTCATAGCCTTCTCTCTCCTTGTCTTTCAGCTCCTCGGTGGTTGGTACTTCTATGTTCAAGCCTACAAGTCTCTGAGGCACAAGTCAGCCAACATGGACGTGCTCATTGTCCTGGCCACAAGCATTGCCTACGTCTACTCTCTGGTCATCCTAGTGGTTGCAGTGGCTGAGAAGGCCGAGAGGAGCCCTGTGACATTCTTTGACACTCCCCCCATGCTCTTTGTGTTCATTGCTCTGGGGCGATGGCTAGAACACATAGCAAAGGTAACACTGGCTTCAGGTTAAGGAAAGAGCTGCTCCTTCAGTAACACAGATCTCAGTTCCTCTGAACACTGTGTTTAGAATTACTAATTACCCACAGTATAGAGACAGGCTTAAAGAAACTAGAAACCTCCTTATAATTAGGTGCTCCAGTCACTAATCTCCAGGCTGGTCGCTACTTCTGAAATCCCGGCTAATCTGGTTAATTATTAAACCTTTGTTCAGGTGTATTGTGTAAACAAAAAGCCCTGGCCTTTAGGTCAGAGCCCATGTTGTCTCTCTGTGCATGAGTATATAGTCAAAGGTCATACCATTTTTAATACCCTGCAATGAAATGTATCCTATAAGAGAGTGGACCTCAGGCCCTAAAATAAATTAGATTAAACCTAAAAGAAAATGGTCCATTGACAGACTAGTGTTTGTTTCCAATCTGAAATGTAATTCCTAGAACTCAGGTCTGTGGTGATGACACATGTGGCATGTCATGGGCAGTGAGTGACGCTTACTTCCAGGGCTTTGATTGTGCAGTGTGGTTGTGTTGGAAGCTGCCTTTGCGACAGCTGCTTCTTTCACACCGCCACCTCTAGGACTGGCTTTGGACAGGTCAGCTTATGATAACTCTCCTTTTACATTCCGGTTATTTTCTAGAGCAAAACCTCAGAAGCCCTTGCCAAACTCATGTCTCTCCAAGCCACAGAAGCCACCGTTGTGACCCTTGGTGAGGACAACTTAATCATCAGGTAAGTTATGTCCAGCAAATTCCTTGAAATCAGTTTATGTCAGCCCGTGTAATATGCATCAAACACCTATCACATAATGACATTGCACTAGACCTTGTGAGGGCAGGCAGAGACTTCTCATCAGATCCAGTTATAAAAGCAAGGCATTTAAATGTGAACAAGCAAGCAAGAGCTGGTGGTGGTGTATAGATGCTCAATGGCAAGTGAGAGGTCCAGAGGATAGTATTCCAGGAATTCAGAAGAGGGAGGCTAATGGTGGCCAAGGGAAATATCACAAAGCATGGAATGTGAGCTGAGCTTTCATTGCAAGATTTGGATTCTGACTGACTGAGAGATAGGGGCTTCAACTTGCTAAAGAATGAAAATGGGAATAGTAATTATCCTCCTTGTAAGGTTGCCTGATATTAAAAATAATTATCTTATTGCTGGAAACTCATATTGCATTTACTATTTGCTAGACACTCTTCCATCCTCTTTTTATTTAACCTAACCAAGGAAGGAGAGGAAACTTTCTGAGGAAAGGACTGTTACTACCCTTAACTTTACAGATGAGGACACTGAGTTTCAGAAAGCCTAAGCAGCTGGCCCAAAGTTACCCAGGTATTAAGTAGTGGAATTGGGATACAACCCAGGCTAATGGATCCAGAGTTCATGTTCTTATGCCTTACACACACTGACTCTTGGGACATATTTAATAGCACAGACATCCGTCCACATTCTGACTCCTGTATTTCCTTGGTTAACCTCTTTTTTATATTCTGGGCTGTGGCTTTTTCAGGTCTCTTTCACATTCCTCAAGTCCCTCTCTGGTCCCACCACTTCCCACTTTCGCCCGTGATCTCACTTCTGAATACTGAAAAGAGAAGCCTTGGGTTGGAAACCCACCACTTGCCTGTTCCTCACTCCACAAGGTTAACCTCCTGCCCAGTACCTCACTGTACTGCCCCGTGGGAAGAGAGGCATCTCCCCCTGCACCTCTGCTCAGGAGCCTCCCTCTGGGTTTTATTGGTGGTCTTCAGCATCTCTGTCTCTGCTGATTCTTACCATCCACTGTGACTCAGGCTCCAGGTGCTCCTGTTATCAGAACTAATCAGCCTCTGTTCCACCCTCGGGGCTCCTGCCTGAGCACTTTCACCTTTGCCAGTCTGTAGGGCTGTGTCCTTGAGGCCTGGGCCCCCATGAGGGTTGAGATGGCCCCTCACTTCCCTGTAGGGTCTGCAGGGCTGGTGCAGGCAGGCCTCCAGTGTGCCTGTGGTGAGTAGAGGAAGTGATGGGGGATACCCAGATGCACGAGGAGTTCACAAGGCACAGGCTGACTGCAGCACAGTAGTGCAGGTTTTATTCTGGCTGCTGGCTTTAAGTAATAATCCTGACCGTAGTAACAATGATTGAGATATGAGTCCTTCTGGTGTACCAGGCACACACCTCTCCACAGCTTGTCTGGTTCATTCCTGATAGCCAGCCCATGAGGCAGGTACCATCTCTATTCCAGCCTTGTCCGGAAGAGCCTGAGTTTAGCAGGGTGAAGTAACTTGCTCAGAGTCCACAGCAGGCCAGTGTCAGAGCTGGGTCCAGACCCCTGGAGGCACAGAGTCCCCTCTCAGCCACCACACCATGCCATCCCCAGACAGCAGGGCCCATGTGGCCAAGCACCTCGCACTCTAGACTCCTGTACATGGGCTGCTCTGCAGCAGTCACACATTGGCTTTTTTTTTTCCTCTTATTAATCAATGGCATGAAAAGTTTTGAGAAGTGAAAATGAACAGCAGTAAAGCCACTGGCAGTAGCATTAGTTTTGACTCACCTTTTCTCTGACTCATTCTGTGATCTCTGCTCTGCAGTTTGAAGTGCTTCTGATGGCACTGACTGCAGTTGCTGGAACTGCTCCAGGGATCTGAACACAAGGAGGTGTCTGTGGAAGGTGTGAGCCAGCCAAAGTGACCAAAGAGTATGGGCCACACCTGTTGTAACTCAGTTATTTTCCAAAGATGGCAATTTGTTTTTTGTCTGTGGATACATAGCGTGACTACTACCACCTAACATGACACTTTTTGGGTTTTGTTTTGTTTTTTTTTTGGTCTGTCACCCAGGCTGGAGTGCAATGGCAAGATCAGTAGTCTCGACCTACTGGGCTCAGGCGATCCTTCTGCCTCAGCCTCCCAGACAGCTTGGATTACAGGGGTGCACTACTACTCCTGGCTAATTTTTTGATTCATTGTAGAGACGAAGTCTTGCCAAGTTGCCCAGGCTGGTCTCAGATGCCTGGGGTCAGGCAATCTTCTTGCCTTGGCCTCCCAAAGTGCTGGGATTATAGGTGTGAGCCACCATGCCTGGCCTATGATGGCACATTTTTTTTTTTTTGAGTTGGAGTCTCACTCTGTCACCCAGACTGGAGTGCAGTGGCCGCTCCCGGCCACCGCAGCCTCGACCTGCTGGGCTCCGGCGATCCTTCCGCCTCAGCCTTCCAAGTAGCCGGAATTACAGGCATGCGCTACCATGCCCGGCTGATTTTTTGATTTATTGTAGAGATGAGGTCTTGCTGCCCAGGTGGGTCTCAAACCCGCGGGCTCAGGCAATCCACTCACCTCAGCCTCCCAAAGGCACGGGATTACAGGCTGAGCCACCGAGCCCGGCTTGATGGCACATTTTAAAGCTAGAAACCAGAAGGCCAGAGTGCATTCTGGTTTTGCCTCTGATGGCTGTGTGCTTGGAACATATACAGTAAGGTCTGTTGCATAGATCAGGGATGGTCATTCCTGCTGGCCCTCCCGACAGGCTGCTCTGGGCCCGCAATCACACCCTATTCTCCTGAAACCAAAACTGTTTCCTCTGCTGCCCAGATTTCAGCAGTCTAGGCCTCTCTTGAGGAGCTTGGCCATTCTGTACTATGAGGTGTGCTGGGTTGGAACCCCCCAGTCACCCTCGCTTCCTGAAAGGCCCTTTTAATGTCTGGGCCACTGCCCATGTGGACATGCTTCTGATCACGTCATCTCCTGAAGTCTACTGCAATTTCCTGCATAACTACCTCCTTTGCTGGGGACGCTTGTCTTTTCTCCTTACCCCGTTTTGGGTGCTGGGAGCATGTTCGGGTGCAATCAATCCAGCTTATTATAATTTATTCCCTTCCTGCTACTTCTGCTGCTGCCCCTTAGTTGCCTTCATGTGCTTTCTTTACTCTCCTTATCCCTTAATTATGGATGATCCTTGGAGCTTTGGTGGTGGCCCCTTTGTGTGTTATGGACAGTCACTGAGATGTTTGTCTTCCCCATGACTTGAGTCAGCAGCTGTGGGGAGCTCATTCTCAAACCCACCTGCTGATTGGAGTCTTTCTCCTCCTGGCTGGCTCGCAAAGGCTCAGACATGGTCTGTGTCCTTCCCTCACCTCCCCCTGCTCACCTCCAGATTCTTCCTCTTCTCCAGTGCCTGTCTGTCTCAAGGAATGTCACCCCCATGCCAGCTCCCAGGCCAGAGCCTGTGCATTCTCTGGCTTCTTTCCTTTCCTCATCCACATATCCATGCTCTGTCCTCATGGTTCTAGTGCCTCGATCTCCAGAGCTGTCATCCACTACCTCTCACTTCCACCACACTGGTCCAGGCTACCTGCTTGCAGCAAAATATTATTCCACATTCAAACTAGCAATCTTTCAAGAAGCACATATCTAATTATATTACTCTATGGTGGAAAATTTTTCAGTGACTCCCTGTTGTCCTGAGGCTAAAGTCCATGTTCTGTAACATGGTAGTAAGGCCAGACGTCTGCCCCTTTGTCTGCTAAACCCAACCCCTGTCTTGTCACTCCCCATGTTGGGTTCCAGCCACTTTGCGCCACTGTCAGTTCCCAGGAAAGGCCCCTTCCTCTGTAGGCCTCTGTTCATGTCCTTTCTTGCCCCTGAACTCCTTTCTTCCTTCCCTTTGCCTGGTTCCTGGTCCTTAGGGCTCAGCTTGGATGTCACATCCCCCAGGAGCCTTCTCTGCTTCCCTGGGCCTGGCGCAGTCATTTCTGCTCAGTATTCTCAGAGCACCCTGCCTCGATCACCCTGGGACATAAACATGGAAGATGCTCAGATACTTACTAGCTGAATGAATGAAACTATCATCAAATGTTAAAGAAATATATGCACGTAGTTGATATTAAAAGGCTTGCACAACCTAGTCCCCAGTTTCCCATGTTGAAATTTTCTTATAATTAGCAGGGAAACAAAATTATAGATTTTATCTGGACCAGTGACCATAGTGCTATACACTTTCTTTTTTTTTTTGGTCTTGTTTGATGGGGAAGGAGAGAGAAGAGGAAGTAGGTGAGGTCAGTAAACTGCTGGCAGAAACTCTTAAAGCTGAAGAATTACTAATAAAAAACTCCATCTCTTCATTTAAGGGTATTCCCACCACCACTGGGGGGACATTAACTTCTGAAGAGAAAATGCTACTGAGAATTCACCAGAAGTAGCCACATTATCTCCCATAAAGGACCATTCCCCTTAAATTAAGCTGTTTAGAGTTGGAAGGATGTAGTTAATTTAGATTAAAAGACAAATTCAAAGTTAGATTAAGCAGAGGTTAGTATTACTAAAGATTTCTTAGGAAGACACCCAGTTGGACGTTTAGCCAGTTTTCTTTAAGTCTCCCTATAGAAGAAGATATTTTAAATGATTAGATTCTGCTGGAGGAGAAGGGACTGCTTTTAAGTCTGCGGGGTCTTTCCTTTCTGAAGTCCCGCAGGCATTCCTCTCCACATGGGCTTCTCTGGCCACATGGAGACCTCTGCGACAACAGCTCCTAGGCTGTGTGCTATCGTTGAAGGGCAGTGTTGGAGCCTGGACTCCTGTGTTACTGAAAGACTTTAGAAATAAGCAGAGAATATCCTTGGGTTATTGAGACCCTTCCCTTTTCCTGGTTTACTGTCCTGCCCCAGACACCAGACAGATTTACTCCCACCACTGAAGTACTCAGTCTTTGAAAGTCTCCTTTTCAGTGCTCCATTCAGTCATTCTTGAACTTATTATACATCTTTTTTTTTTTTTTGAGTCAGAGTCTCATTCTGTCGCCCAGGCTGGAGTGCCGTGGCACGCTCACGGCCACCGCAGCCTCTACCTGCTGGGCTCAGGCAATCCTTCCACCTCAGCCTTTCAAGTAGCTGGAACTATAGGCAAGCACCACCATGCTCAGCTAATTTTTTGATTTATTGTAGAGATGAGGTCTTGTCAGGTTGCCCAGGCTGGTCTCGAACCTGTGGGTTCAGGCAGTCCTCTCACCCCCGCCTTCCAATGTGCTGGGATTATAGTTATGAGTCACCATGCCTGACTTATTGTGCATTTTAATAGTCTATCTCTCTGTGTGTTTTTAGCTGTGAGGCTGTAAACCTCCTGGGAGGAAGGCTCCACTTTGTCCTGGTTGTAACCCCAGCCTAGAACCTGGTTCCTGATACACAAAGGCTACTCAATATGAAAATGTCAATTAGATGAGAATAAAAATAGCCAGCATTCACTGGGTACTTACTGTACTTCAGGCACCATGCTGAGGTTAACCACTCCAAACACATCTCGCTTGATCCTGGAGCAAAGTCACCATTGTAGAAAGAAGGAAACCATGGTCTTGAACCAGTCCTGTTCAATCCTAGCTACCTGGTCTGGACCCCAGATCACATTGCTACCCTGAGACTCTTGCCAGTGACTTTAATGACAACGCTGAGCTCTAGGAGGCCAGACCCAGGTTCAATTTCCTCACCAGTGTCCCCTGTGTCTTGTACAGACAGTGGCGCTTAGCAAATTTCGGGATGGATTCGTGCTGCTCAAGCAGTCTCCATTCCTCAGCACCCCCTAGAGCTGGGGACCTGGCCAGGAGCGGGATGCATGCACACCCTTGGAGGGGAGGGAACGCATGGCAGGCAGGCTCGACCTTGGGAGCTGGACAGACCTTGAATCTTCACTGCACAGAGAATGTTCCTGAACAGTTTTTAAAAAGAAAAATATTGATGCGAATATTTAACGTCCTTGTCTAATATGCTAGTTACTAAATGTTATTTATACATAGCAACATTTTTATTTTATTTTTAAATTTTTAAAAAATAAAGATGTGGGATACAAGTGAGGATTAACTACATAGTAAATAATAAATAAATAGGCTGCATGCCAGTAAAGTTTGGACTTCTAACTGGCCCTCACTCCCCCTGGTAGTGGACCAGGTACTCTTTGTGTTGTCATGTGCCCCTCACCCTCCTCCCTTCCTCCCTTCCCTAGCACTGCCCAGTGACTGCCCGTCCCTCCTTTGTGATTGTTGTTCCTGGCCCACGTATGAGTGAGAACATGTGGTATTCAGTTCTCTGTTTCTGTGATAGTTGACTTAGTGCGATGGTCTCCAACTCCATCCAGCTTATTCTCCTTTATGGCTGGGTAATATTCCATCTTTTATATGTTCCACATTTTCTTTATCTAGTCCACTTTCAGTGGGCAGTGGAATTGGTGCCATGTTTCTGCTATTGTGAATGGCGTGGTAATAAACATGCGTGTGCAGGTATCTTTTTTGTAGAAAACTTTCTGTTCCTCCAGGTATATTCCCAAGAGAGGGATTGCTGGGTCATATGGAAAGCCAATTTTTAGATTTTTTAAGAATAGCCACACTGCTTTCAATGCAGGTTGAACTAGCTTGCACTTCCACCAACAGTGTGGAAGCGTTCCCTTTTCTCCGCACCTGTGCCGGCGTCTCTTGTTTTTCTTTTATTAATGATAGCATAGCAACATTTTTTTTTAAATGCGCACGTGTTCAATTTTGTGCCTTTCTACGAAATCTTCAGGTTTATGCTCAATGGGAGTAATATCACTTACTGTGTATGTTTTTGGGAAGATTCAATGAAATAAAATATAAAAATCTAGCACAGTGTCTAGCACTCAATAAATGTCTGTTTTTCCTTCTCAAATGAGGTGACTTTTTGTCCCTGTGATAGTTTAAATGTAGTCTTTGTAGACTGGAAGGAAGGTGTAAGATAACCTGAGTCTTGATAGCTCTACGTGCCTGTTTTTTTGACTTTTTCACCGTCTGCTCCTGAGCCATTTGTATATTTACAGTTAATTCTGTTTGTCCCATGTCATGCTGTTAGAGAGGTGCTGCCAAAGTTGGCTTTCACTCCATCTTGCCTCTTCTCTGGTCCTGCCATCCCTTCCTCGCTCTCCCAGCTCTGTCTCTGTGGGACCCTTCCCTCTAGTGCGTGTTCACCCACGCATATAGTCCACAGTCCCCACCTTAATCCATCTCTCTACTGCTCTGATTTCTGTTCCCTTTGACAGGAAACCTTCTTTAAAAACTTGACGTTAGCTACTGTCTTTGTTTCTTCACCTTACATCCTTTCAGCCCATTCCAGCTGGTCTTCTGCCTTTGCCAGTTTCCAAAATTGCTTTGGCCAGCACCATCAAATCATTTTCATGTACCCAAATCCAACCATTGCTTGTAAAAAATCCTCCCTTTAGCCTCTCGCCAGCACTTTCCCCCTTTTCTGCTTCTTTGAATTTTTTTATTAATATATAATCACGTTCACTGCAGTACGCAAGCCCTAAGTGTGGAATACGATGCGTTCTTGCAGATACTTGCCCCGTGGAACTACCTGTGCAGCACTCGATGTGGTTGGATGGTGCTTCTTCCCCGCCTGACTCTCTTGCCTTTCTCCTGTGGCCCTGGCAGGTCCTTGGCTGCCTCTCTCGTTGGCCCTTCAGCCTCTGCTCAGTCTCCAGACCATGGCGTGTCCTAGGGCTTAGTTTCCAGGACCCCTTCTTTTTTTGCTTTATACCCTAAGGAAGCTTGTACCATTTTATGGCGTTAAATATCATCTAATGGGACAGCTTTCAGATTTGTACCTCTGACTCTGAGTTCTTCTGTTCAGACTCATGCATCGGCTCCTGAGTTGACACTTCCACATGGAAGTCCAATAGGCGTCCCTAGCCTGACGTGTCAGAATGCAGCTCTTCACTCCACCCTCCCCATCTCTTCCCTCACCCTCCCTCAGCAGCTTCTCCATAGTTGTCTCCATCTCAGTAAGTGATTTCTCTATCCACCCAGTTGCTCCGAATGAAAACTTGGAGCTCATCTTTGATTCTTTTCCTTGCCCCTTCGCATTTAGTGCATTTTTAAATCTTGTTGATATGTGACCTGAATATATCCTCCATCTCCAGTCCAAGTCACTGCTGCCTTCTGCATGGGCTACCACAACAGCCTAACACCTCTCCACGCTTCAGCTATTGCCCGTTCTCATTCAGCAGCCAGAGAGGTCACTTGGAAATGTGAATCGAAGATGGTGCCACTTCCCACTAAAAGCTTGATATCCAGAGCCCATCCTGCCTTCTTCTGTGACTCCAACTCGTATTTCACTTACTTTCTCCCAACCATGTGTGCTTCCTTCCATTTCTTCTTGCCTGCCTTAGGCCTTTGCATTTGCTGTTTTCTCTCCCTTGAACTTTCTTTCCTCACGTGTTGAGCTTTCTTGTCATAGAACTCTCAGCATAAGCATCATCTTCCCAGAGAGGCCTTCCCACGTCTCCCCTCTCCCCCACCACCCTAAGAAGCTCTCCAGTCACATTGTCTGGTTTAATCTCATCATAGCACTTAGATACTGCCCCGTTTGTTTTCTGTTCCCACCACAGAATTTGTCTTCATGAAATAGGGACTGTGCTATGCTTTTCAAAGCTGTATCCTCGGTGCCCAGAACAGTGTCTGGTACTTAGTAGCTGCACAATAAATATTGGCTCAACCCATAAATGAACAGATAAAATGAATACTCTTGCTTGGGTTAAGCAAGAGTGAGGGTGAGCTGCCATGAAAGGCCATGGAAGAGATTTGGGTGGCATTTATTGCAGGGAGGAACAAGTACCCATGGAGCTGGTGCAGCGGGACGATATCATCAAGGTGGTCCCAGGGGGAAAGTTCCCAGTGGATGGGAAAGTCCTGGAAGGCAATACCATGGCTGACGAGTCCCTCATCACAGGTGAGGAGGCTTGTTTCATGTTCCCTTGGGTGGGTATCACAGCAGTTGCCAGATCACGAGTGCTGAACTGAGCAAGTGACGATTGTCTCTTCTCTGCCTCTAGGAGAAGCCATGCCCGTCACTAAGAAACCCGGAAGCACCGTGATCTCCGGGTCTATAAATGCACATGGCTCTGTGCTCATCAAAGCCACCCATGTGGGCAACGACACCACTTTGGCTCAGATTGTAAAATTGGTGGAAGAGGCACAGATGTCAAAGGTAATGAAGAAGTTTAGAAAACAGTGTAATTTCAGCTTTCTCAATTTAGAAATGATTTCAAGGGTTCCATAGAATCAGGCAGTTTTATTGAGTAGAGATTGACTAGTATTTTATTGAGTGGAGATTGACTAGTAAATGCAGTTAATGAGGGAGATAAGAATCTCAATCTTTACCCATGCTTGTAGTGTTCTATTTCTTCATAGATTGTAATTCCCTGTGGTCTTGGTGTTTTGTTTTCATAGGCACCCATTCAGCAGCTGGCTGACCGGTTTAGCGGATATTTTGTCCCATTTATCATCATCATTTCAACTCTGACGTTGGTGGTATGGATTGTCATCGGTTTTATCGATTTTGGTGTTGTTCAGAAATACTTTCCTGTAAGTTGACTGCCTTGGGCTGTGTAGTTGTAGTGTTTTAAATAATCTAATGCCATTGGTCTTATTCTTTCATGTCTTAGATTCACTGGGCTTTAATTATTCATTACATTTTATTTGCTCACTTCACTTATTGGCAGCAAAATCTAAGAGAATAGGACAAAATCTGAGAGGAGGACAGTCACTCTCCTTCAGGCTTTTATTAAAGATACCCTTGTGTTCTACTTAGACAGTTTTCACAGATACCAACTGACTCTCACTTGTTATGTTTAAAGCATTTACAATATGCATCACTAACCATGTTTGAGGTTGTAAAGCATATATCATAGAAAATAGTTCACTTCAATTTTTTTTTTTTTTTTTCAAGTTGGAGTCTCACTCTTGCCCAGACTGGAGTGCAGTGGCCACTCCTGGCCACCGCAGCCTCGACCTGCTGGGCCCCGGCGATCCTTCTGCCTCAGCCTTCCAAGTAGCTGTAACTACAGGCACACGCTACCACGCCCGGCTGATTTTTTGATTTATTGAGAGGTGAGGTCTCGTCAAGTTGCCCAGGCGGGTCTTGAACCCGCGGGCTCAGGCAATCCACTCACCTCAGCTTCCCAAAGTGCTGGGATTACAGGCTGAGCCACCGAGCCCGGCCAATCACTTCAAATTTTGATGGCATGATAATATTACTTAATAGATTTTAGGAAAAATATATTTTTTGCTATCTGTATCCACCACTGCCATCTTCAACCTCCCAGCTTCCCAAGTAATGCTAATAGCATCTTAATAATTAAATATTTACTGAACACTATTTGTGAGGCAATGAAATATACATTTTTGAGTTTTTAAAAAGTAGATGAAGAATACTATTTTAGGAAATTTTGTTTTATCCAACTTTTTGATATCAAAAAAAGTGGAAACTACATTTCATCCCTCAAAACTTATATACTTGAGAAATAAGAACTATATGTGTCAGTGATTCTCAATTGGGAGTTCTGACATTTTTGGTCTTTGTGCCTGAGGGAGTTCCTACTTCTGTCTAGTGGGTAGAAGCCAGTGTTCTTAAAATTCCACAAGGCACAGGACAGGGCCCACAACAAAAATTATCTGTTCCCAAATGTCAGGGGTGCCAAGATTGAAACCCCAATACATGTAAGAAGCTAGTGACCCACTTAGAGCAGCATTTGATAACTGTTCAGTGAGTTGAACAGTGTTTTACTTTACCTTGTATCTAGCCCAATCTAATGCTTATTTTACTTGAGAGCCCTAGAGTAAGAAACTACAAATAAGGAATGGATCATTATTTTTATTTTTAAAAAATTTCTGCCCATAATGAAAGGTATGTCAGATATTCTTGGAGTGCATGCCTTTACTAAGATGTCATTTTCTCCCTCAAATTTCCTATCTTAAATTGAAAAATATCCAAGTTCAGCACTTTCTGATATCTGCAGAGACCTCAGTGCTTTTAAGAGTAACCTCTGAATGTATTCCTAGAATTTTCTAGTGGCTGTGCATGGCACCTGACTGCCTAAAATTTCTGCTTTCTTGGGAGAGCAACACACTGGCATGTGGCCATGGGAAGACTCAGTCCTAACCAAGTTGGAATATGTGCTTTCTGCTGTTCCATGCCTTTCCATCTTACTTTGGCTTCTTTTGTTTTTATCTGCAATATCAGGGAGGATGCTGGCAAATGAGGTACTGCATGTTCTTTCAGATACTGTCATCACTGCTGTACAAAAAATCATTTGCAGGGAAGGGTTCATGTTAACCTCTAGAAGTCCATTCAGTCCTGTCAGAATGCCAGGTGCTATTTTGACAAGAATTACTAGGATTGAAAAAAAATTACATCATCTTTATCACTAAAAATCTTTTCATAGTGTGTCCCTTTACCTAAATACAACTTTCTATGAAAATCAAATAACCCTTTAATAATATTCCTTATTTTAGAGTCCTACCTTTCAAAATCAGGGAATAAAGTATAGATAGAAGCTAAGAGGTTATGGTCTGTAGATTTGATTTAGAAAACATGCTCTTTACTTTAATTAAGTGACTGTAGTATCTCTTGATTATATTCCTTAGCTACCAGCCATTTTGAAAATAAACCAAGATAATTTGAGCCTGCAGAATGCAAATAATAATACCAATATGTGCCACTAGATATCTTTTTGTTTGTTTGGGGTTTACAAAGAAAATAATAGTGAAAATTTTGACTCTTCAACAAAAAGCTAAATCCATTGCTCTTAATAAGGGAGAACCGTGCTTACTGGATGTGGTCTGAACAGAGCAATGTGCTGGCTTTAAAAAATTAAGATGGTTCCAAATCACATCCCACATCCCTAGATGTAACTGTTTTTTGTACTTTGGAGGACACATTTCTAGTGTTGTTGAAAGGCTATATACAGATATAGACAAAAATTTTGTATGAATAAAATCAAAGCACATGCCTTTTTGTACTTGAATTTTTTTGAGTCAGAGTCTCACTGTGTTGCCCAGGCTGGAGTGCATTGGTACTATCATAGTTCACTGCAGCCTTGACCTCTTGGGCTCCGGTAATCCTTCCTCTTCAGCCTCCCAAGTGGCTGGAACTACAGGCACGCAGCACCATGGTTGGCTAATTTTTTAATTTTTTTGTCAAGATGAGGTCTCGCTGTGTTGCCTAGACTAATCTGGAACTCCTGGGCTCAAGCAATCCTCCTACCTCAGCCTTCCAAAGTGATGGATTACAGGTGTGAGCCGCCATGCCTGGCCTGTACTTGCTTTCTGATTTCTCATGTTACTGGTGTCTTTCATATCAATAAGTATAGATATGCATGATCATTCCTATAATTACATAATACAGTAAGTCCCCTACATATGAAGCTTCACGTTATAAACTTTAATGATGCACACATGTGTTTTTTATGTATTATTTATCTCCACCAGGTGTTAGTATAGCCTGTTAAATACATGCAGTACTATGTAGCCAAATGTATTAGTTAGGTACCTAGGCTAACTTTGTTGGATTTACAACAAATGGACTTACGACTGTGCTCTCAGAACCAAATTCATTCATATGCTGAGGACTTTCTGTACTTCGCTGTACACACCATATTCACAATTTAATTAACAACGCCCTCTTGATTGTTTCCCTTTTTTTTTTCTTTGCCTCTACAAAAACAAAGCACTATGCTCAATACTCTGGAATCTTTTCTCATTTGTATGATTATTGCCTTATGGTAGATTTCTTGGAGACCCATGATTTTAAAGCCTTCCTAATGATGATAAAAATAACAATAATGTAGTAAGTAAAATTACTTAGCTGACTCTTCTATGCAAGGTGTTGTGCTATGTGTATTTATATGAAGGAGACCCAGAAAAACCGGATTATCTTTTGAAGGGTAGGTCTCTTATAGTATAGGCTTCCCCTGCTAGGTAAGTGTTCTATGAACCCGTCCATATCAGTGTACCAGCTAGCATTGTTGTGAAGGCTGTGTTCAGCTTCAGTGAATTTTTTTTTTTTTTTTTGAGATTTCTTTCAGCACATTTTTCCATTTCATGAGGGTTGCTTTACAAGTGCACATGCCCACACCATGCTGCATGTTCAGCAGTTTTGGACCAAAACAGCATAACCCCTGTGCCCCACCTTCCTATTCATCTGATCTCACCCCAAGCGACTTTTCTTTTGTTTCTCTGGATGAAAAAAGTCCTCGAAGGGAAATGTTTTGCCAATGTGGAAGGGGTGAAACAAAAAATGGCAGAAGCACTAAAAGTCATCAGAATTGATAAGTTCAAAAGCTGTTTTTTGAACAGTGGGAAAAGCGTCTTGGTGGGTATATTGCGCCAAACAGAAAGTACCTAGAAGGTGACTGCAGTTTTTTTGTTTTTGTTTTGTTTTGTTTTGTTCTTGAGTTGGAGTCTCACTCTGTCACCCAGACTGGAGTGCAGTGGCCTCTCCCAGCCACCGCAGCCTCAACCTGCTGGGCTCCGGCGATCCTTCCACCTCAGCCTTCCAGTAGCTGGAACTACAGGCGTGCGCTACCACACCCGGCTAATTTTTGATTTATTGTAGAGATGAGGTCTCGTTAAGTTGCCCAGGCAGGTCTCAAACCCGCGGGCTCAGGCAGTCCACTTACCTCAGCCTCCCAAAGGCACGGGATTACAGGCTGAGCCACCAAGCCTGGTTGAAGGTGACTAAAGTTTAAACATGTAAGAATAAATACACAATTTTTTATAAATAAATTTCAGGGTATTTTGGGTCCCCCCCCAGTATGTTTTAATATGCATATTGCCTCATTTAATCCTTATTATACAACCCGTGAGCCAGGTATTATCATCTCTATTATGTGTATGAGGAAACTGAGGTGCAGAGAGTTGAAGTTAGTGTCAGAGCCAGGATATGGATCTACATGGTCCAACCCCAGAGTCTTCATTCTTTCCCCTGTCAGGGGTTTTTATGCGACTCTGCTCCTGTAATGCCCCTTTAGGGGATGCTTGTAAGTTTGAAAACTGGGATGTAAATGAACTCTGTGATACTAAAGCAGCATAGCATGCAATTTTGTTTCCTAACCCCAAACTCATCATGCTATCTCATGCCCCACTGCCCCCCTGAAATGTTCCAGGAGTAGAATTCCAGGAACTTCCTCACTGAATTCTCAACCTTTCTCTGTCTCTCTCCTCTTTTCAGAACCCCAACAAGCACATCTCCCAGACAGAGGTGATCATCCGCTTTGCATTCCAGACATCCATCACAGTGTTGTGCATTGCCTGTCCCTGCTCCCTGGGGCTGGCCACACCCACGGCGGTCATGGTGGGCACAGGGGTGGCTGCACAGAACGGCATCCTCATTAAGGGGGGCAAGCCCCTGGAGATGGCCCACAAGGTCAGCCTGCACCAAGGTTTTTCCCCGTCCTCCTCTGGGGTTTTGGCTATGGTGATTTGCTGAAGAGAGCCTTAATTAAAATAATATCTGTTTACTATTTCATATTGAGAGAAAAACTGGAATGCCCCTCTGAGGGCAGCAGTGCTAACTAAGTAGAATGGGAATTCAAGTCTGACTGAGACTGACAGCCGCAGCAGTGGTAGCTGACAGTCACATAATGAAACGCTTTATAAATATTAATTGTATAATTGCATTACAGTCTTTGCAGCAGAGACTTATTTTTCTCATTTTACTGATAAGGAAACTGCAGTAGAAGGAGGTTAGGACTTGCTCAAAGGCCTGCAGCTAACCAGTGGCAGAGCCAGGATTCACATCCAGGTCGTTAGCTCTAGAAGGAAAGTTCCATCTCAGCAACCATGAGATTAGTGGTGGGTCCTATGGCCTTGGGGAGTGAGGAGTGAGCACCAGTGTTGATGAGGAATCATCCTTGTTCCCAGCATTCCAACCCCTGACCTTCTACACTTCCGTGTCCTTATTCAGTGTTTGTTGAGCACTTTCTGTGTGGGGGCCCCGTACCAGGTTCTAACACTGGTCAAGGAGTTGATGGTTTAGAGGGAAAGACAGGTATCGAATGAATAAACAACAAATGCTGAGTATTATAAGACACTGTGAGATACCATGGGGACACTTTAACAGGGTCTCCCAGACTCAGTGTGTTGGACTCAGGAGTAGGGGGTGGTGCAGGTGTTCAGGGAAGGGAATTCAAAGGTTAATCCAAACAGAGGATGGAAGAACATTCTGGTAGTGGGAACAGCAGGTGGGAAGAACTGTGAAGGCTGAACTTTTCCTCACCATTGTAACCCCAGCATCTATCCCAACCCATTGAGATCCTTCAGAATTATTTGCTGGATAAATAAGTGAGGAACTGGGAGAAAATCATTGAGAGAGAGAAAAAACTAGAAATGAGGCTGTGGAGGGAGGGGCCAAAATATGGAAGCCTTAAAGGGTTAAGAAAGGACCTGAACTTCAGCCTAGAGGGATGGAGGCCATGGTGGGGTATGATGAACCTACGTGATGTTTCTAGATTATGTGTTGGCAAATCCTTCTGGCACTTAAGCATCAGAAACAAAAAGTTGAATCTATTGTTTTTAAATAAAGGGAATACCATTTTTATGGGATGTGGTCTGAACAAAGCAATCTGTTAGCCTTAAATAGAGTTGGCCAAAGTGTGCAGTTGAGGAATTGGTAGACTTCTAGAAGCAGGGGCTCAGGGCTTTGCCAACCTTGGCCTTGAAAGTGCAGGAACCCAAGTGTGGCTGCTGCCAATGTCTGAGCCCACATGCATGGGGACTAGCACAAACCACCCTTGACCAAGTGGGACAGATTTAAAAACTACTGGTTTTGGGGGTTACTTGTCATTATGGCCACAGAATAGCCCTTTCCTTTCTTGAACTCGGAGTGTGAGGACTCCATATCCCAGTAGATTTTGAACTTTTGAAGGCAAGAGGAAACAGTGGAGGAGGAAGAAGGACTCCCAGGGTCCTGACTACTGAGCTGACATGAGGAAGTCTGCGGATGGTGTCACTATCTGGGTGATGGTGCTGTGTCATCTGTGGTACAGCTGAGCAAATTTCTGGCTTTGCCCGGTCAAGGTAAAGTCACAGCGTAGGCATCTTTGACCAGGCAGATAGGGAAACAGTCTCATTGCAGTAGGAGTTATTGAACCCTGGAGATCGACTATGGATAAAGGAGTGTTGGCAGGTTGGGTGAAGTTCTGCCTCAAGATTATGTGGACTAGGAAAACTCCTGTCTGTGTTATAGTCACTGAGATGAAGTTGTTCTTGGCAGATAAAGACCGTGATGTTCGATAAAACTGGCACCATTACCCATGGTGTCCCCAGGGTCATGAGAGTCCTCCTGCTTGTAGACGTGGCCACACTGACTCTCAGGAAGGTTCTGGCTGTCGTGGGGACTGCAGAGGCCAGCAGCGAACACCCCTTGGGCGTGGCAGTCACCAAATACTGTAAAGAGGTACATCAACCTTGCCATGGCTCTATCCTTCCCTCTTCCCTTTCTTGTCTTCCTTGCCTCTTCCTCTGCCTCTCCCTTTCTCCCACCCCCACCTCCTTTGCTTCTTACCACATGCCTTCTCCTGGCTACTCTCAAGGAGGCCTTCACTATGTGACCTAGAAAACCACTTTAGCAGGTCCCTCTGGAGCAGGTGAAGAGAGGACTCACAGCCAACCCTTACTACAGTTCCAGATTATCACAAAAGAAGTTCAGTGTCACTGCCATTTGCCAGGCACTTGCTGGATACCTGCTTGGCACTGGGCTCGGAGCAACAAAACAAATAAGATGTGAACTCTGCCCCCTGGGAGCTGACAGCCTTCAGGGAAGTCAGGCGGTCTAGAGACTCGGGCTTTATCAGTGCTTAGTGCAAGGGGATACAAACATGAAATAGGAGTATTGGGGTGAGAGGGAGAAATCCACTCCCCTGGGAACATCTGGAATGAACCGGAGCCCACAGAGGTGAGTTGAAGTACCCAGTGGATTCTTGGCTCAGTTGGTGGAATAGCTTGCACTCCCTTGATCTCTCTTCATGAAAGGGCCTATTTTGTTTCCTGTTTTCAGTCTGAATATAGAGGCAGTAGAATGTGCCAGAATATTCCTGGACAGAGGACCTTCCAGAAACCTCTTTTCTAGCTCTGTCGTTCATGTAGGGTCAGACAGATTGCAGCTTCACATCTTCCTGGTGTTTCTGGGAGAATCTCGGTCTCCCCTAGTCATCCGTTATTTGCTGTTTTGCTCCCGTCTCTCCCCTGCTTTCCCATGCCTTCCTCCTCCAGGATCTGATACTTGAATAAGTGTCCCTTGATAGCCTCAAAATAGCTATGTTGCTAGTTATTTATTCCATCATTTTTATGGAAGTATTTGCAACTTAAGATTCCTATCTTCCTCTCTTTGGCATCTGCACCCTCTTTGATTTGAGGTGTTTGGTGTGAATTGCCTTTCTCCTTTCTCTCTGCAGTCTCTGCACTCTCAGGAGGCATCCACCCAGGGGGAGATTTTAGGCTGTTTTGCCTTATTTATTTTAATAGCTATGATATCTTTATCAGATGCAAGAAAAATAATAGCTGAGTCCTAGTCACCCTTTCAACCCTTCCCGCCAATTCCACTCCCCTTCCCTCCTCTCTCTCTTAATCCCCACTCCATTCCTGACTTGCCTTTCTCCCTCTCACTTCACCCCCTCAGTTTTCTGGTTCCTCTCCCTCTCCCCTGCCTTCACAGGAACTTGGAACAGAGACCCTGGGATACTGCACAGACTTCCAGGCAGTGCCAGGCTGTGGAATTGGGTGCAAAGTCAGCAACGTGGAAGGCATCCTGGCCCACAGTGAACGGGCCGGTCACCTGAACGGGGTTGGCAGCCTTCCTGCGGAAAAAGGTATCCCAGCCCTTTTCTCTGCATCTGGACCTATTGGTGGCTGGGCCTGGCTGGGTCAAAATGGAGGCATGCCAGACCACAGAGAGCACCATGCCAGGCCCTGAGAGCACCATTCCTCTGCTGTGGAGAAATATAGCTCATGACTGGGGCACCCATACTGCTGTCCCCAGGAAAATCTGCAACTTTTCTTGCGTTCTTTGATGCATCTAAATGTTGATGCTTATGACTGGCAAAAAGTGGTATATAGTATTGCTTAGCTGGCCCATAATTTTGATTCTCTTCTTTCTTACCCCAGCTTTATCTTGCTTCTTATAAGCTACAGAGTAGACAGTTGGGAGAATTCCTTTTTTGCTTACAGTCTCCCTCTCATGTGACTGAACTATGATGGGATGTGTAGCACTTAAAGAACTGGGAGAGGAGGTCGGGGAGAGCAGATGGAAATGGACTGTCCAAGTCAAGAAGGGACACTGCTTGGAGCAGCAGCTGCTTCAAGAGTAGCCTTTCACACTCTAAGGTAGCTTGCCAGCCATCGGCATAAGAGGGTAGACAACCCCAAACCCCAAAACCTGTATCTAGTGTTTTTCCTAAATATTTTGGTAATGAAATCTTGATTTAATTTTTTTTTTTTTGAGTTGGAGTCTCACTGTCACCCAGACTGGAGTGCAGTGGCCGCTCCCGGCCACCGCTGCCTCAACCTGCTGGGCTCTGGCGATCCTTCCACCTCAGCCTTCCAAGTAGCTGGAACTACAGGCGTGCGCTACCATACCCGGCTAGTTTTTGATTTATTGTAGAGATGAGGTCTTGCCAAGTTGCCCAGGCGGGTCACGAACGAAATCTCGATTTAAATTGTGGTGTTCGAAGCCATCGACCACCTTCCAGCAGTTGAAATCCTAGGATGTCCTTTCCATTAGAGCTTCCCGGGGCTGGCCATGCAGCAGAATACTGTTAGAAGGTGACTGGTAGAAGGTACACCTGGCCTCTCAGGAGGTGTCATTATGAAACATTTCACAGAAATAGACTCATCTGATTATTTGTGGATTCACCTGGAACATTGATACCAAACAGTAATGAATCTATTCAGCACTTGCTTTGGGTGCTGGGCGGATAACTGTTTCTAATTTCTTTAGACAAAGAATCATAGCTCTAAAGGCAAATAAGGACATTGCATTGCATGATGTTTAATGTGTTTAGTAATATTTTCGCACATATAGCATGTACTGTCAATACCCCATTTTAATTCACATGCTCTACACATTAATTGTACTTTTTTTCTGGTCCTTTAAGGATAGTGTCAGGAAAGGTGCTTACTAGGGTATAGTTTCTCAGAATGATTAAATGGATATTTTGCCATTAAAAGGATTGCAAGGTTTTTAGTTCACAGTGAACTTGGACTATGTAGGAATAACCACTGTCTCTTGAATAGATGCAACCTCTCAGACCTTCTCTGTGCTGATTGGAAACCGTGAGTGGCTGAGGCGCAACGGCTTAATCATTTCTAGTGATGTCAGTGACGCCATGACAGATCACGAGATGAAAGGACAGACTGCCATCCTGGTGGCTATTGATGGTATCTCCTGCACATGCATTCCTTCTGTCTTGGGCCTTACATTTCAGAGAGATTAGAATCTTTACTTTGTTAATGTTCATTTCTGCTACTAGAAATAATACCATATGCAAATAAGAAATAATTTATGACACTGTGTTTTGAATGCTCCAACCAAATCTGTCTTCCTTTCCCATTCTCTCTTTTTTCCTTTTTCTGTTTTTCTAAACCCACAGTCCCCTTGGCTCATTAAAGCAGAACTGGCACAACTAAAGGAGTAGTCTCTCTCATACATGTCTTAACCCTCCTCCCACTCATGCCTCAGCCCTAGAAACCCTCCTGCTTCTGTAGGTATAGGTTCACTAAAAGAAAAATTTCTATAGAATTGTTTTCTATAGGAAAAGACAAAGGATCGGTTTCCTATTTTGGACATTATTACCTTATTTTAAGAAATATTTGTATATTTCTCAAATTTTAGTATGTATTAAGTTCTTAGTATGAGCCAGGCACTTTGCAGAATAGCATGTGCTCCTTGCAGAAAATTTGGAAAATTCAGAGAGCTGTAAAGAAAAAAATGAAATCACTCATAATCCTACTCCTCAGGGAGCCACTGTGAACATGTTGATACTGCTCCAGACTTTTGTGTGCTTCTGCAAATGTGTGTAATTTTTAAAAATGAAATCAAGACCATGTTATATTGTATAATTTGGTGTTTTGGTTTTTGTATGTAACATTATGTGATGAGAACCATTGTGAGCATGACTGCGTATTGGTGTGGGTGTCCATCCCACATGGTTGCTCATGTGGACTGGTTTGTTCCAGGCGTGCTCTGCGGGATGATTGCCATCGCAGACGCTGTCAAGCAGGAGGCTGCGCTGGCTGTGCACACACTTCAGAGCATGGGTGTGGATGTGGTTCTGATCACAGGGGACAACCGGAAGACAGCCAGAGCCATTGCCACCCAGGTGCGGCCTCTTAAAATTATACATCGTGTTACACTCACAGAAGCAGCTAGAAATAAAAATGAGCACCAGCACACCCAGAGTTGAACTTCCCTTCTCTTTTGCTTTCACTGGGCACTTTTTACCCCATTCTGTTCAAGCAGTGCAGTGTCCCACGTGAAACCACTGTGCTGCTACCACAAAGAGCTGGTCCCTGGGACCTAGCTATACACATCCCTAGAAAAAGCAGTTCCAGGGTTCTCCAACCATTTCTCAGACTTTGCAATAGGAAAAAGAAAAAAAGTTTGTGGCTCAAGGGCTAAAATAGACATTTCCTAACCTTTCTGTTAGGGGAAAGGTCAGCTCTTCTCATTCGGGTGCTCAGATATGCCTCAGTGCTGGGCGAGTTTGGGCCCTAAGGACAGCACCGCTGGAGGGCTACCTGACCCCTACTCAGCAGTGACTGGATTCCGGGAAACTGCACTCTCTGCAAGTGAATGTAGAGCCATGTGCCTGAAAGTTCATTGCATCCTATGAGGGAAGCTGAAGTGCCTGTTTTCTGTAGTCCTCCTTGCTGTTGATGACTTGTTGTCCTCCCCTTTTCCTGCTTAAAACTTGTTCATCCATTCAGCAAGCACTTAGGAAGCACAGGAAATGTAAGACGTACAGGGCCAGGCACTGTGAGGAGTGAAGAGGGACGCTGCCCTTGATGGGCTTATGGTCCTACGGGTAGGGTGGACCAGCGACTGGGCATAGGTCTGATAAGTGAGAGAAGGGTTGGGAAAGGAAAACAGAGCCTTTCCAGGACAGAACAGCAGTGTGAGCATCACCCGGGGAGACAGAGTAGTACAGAGACTTCAGTGATCCTTTGCAGGGAGCTGAATGGTACGGAGCCTAGCGCCAGCGACAGGCCATCAGGCAGAGGCCAACCCAGAGGGTCTTAAAGGCAGACCCCAAGAGCATAGTCATTGTCCTCAGGGAGGTGGTGGGATCCACTGGAAGATGCAAAGCAGGAGAGTCATGGTGCCACATGGTGGTTGTTTTGGAAAGACCTTGGGGGCAACACGTGGAGGAGGAGCAAGGTAGACGGGGAGGCCAGCAAGGGGCTGTTTGCTCATCCAGGAAAGGACGGTGCCTAAATCAAGGCAGGGCATTGGGACAGGAGTTGGGGAGAAGTGTACCCTATGACAGTAACCTGCCTGTTGTCATTGACTGAACCTGGAGGCTGGGGGTAGAGGGGCCAGGGTGACTTGGTGTTTCTGCTTTGGTCCGATGTCTTCTGCCAACGCTGGGTGTTGCTTTCCTTTCCTCTCAGGTTGGCATCAGCAAGGTCTTTGCAGAAGTGCTGCCTTCTCACAAGGTGGCCAAGGTCCAAGAGCTCCAAATGAAAGGGAAGAAAGTCGCCATGGTGGGAGATGGGATCAACGACTCCCCAGCCTTGGCCCAGGCAGATATGGGCGTTGCCATTGGCACCGGCACAGATGTCGCCATCGAGGCAGCTGACGTGGTCCTCATCAGAGTGAGCGCGGCTGTGGCCAGGCTGTGGGCTGGCTGCGGGAACAGTGAGGGCTATGGGACAGAGCCCTTCTTCACCATGTGTTCCTCTCCTCTAGAATGATCTGCTTGATGTGGTGGCTAGCATTCACCTTTCCAAGAGGACCGTCCGGAGAATACGCATCAATCTGGTCCTGGCACTGATTTATAACCTGGTTGGGATACCCATTGCAGCAGGTAAGGACAGCTCTCACCCGCTGTGTTGTCTGTGGCTGCAGCTGTGGCTAGAAAGGCTTCTCTCTGTCTGGTCCCTGCTGGGTAGTGAGTAGCCCACCTCGCTGGCTGGCTGACTAGAGGCATTTTAGAAAGGAGGGTTTGTTTTGTCCCCTCCCTTCTAGGTCTCTAAAGATAGGTGAGAAACTGCTGAGAAGACCCCAAACCTTCATTCACTCTAGTTCCTTCTTAAAAAATGGTCAAGATGCTTGGTTGTTTATTTACTGGGGCCCTATTTTCTGAACCATTAAGACATACACTGAGAAATAATCATTATTAAGAGTTATGGAGTACCTGCTACATGCTAGACACAGTGATTGGTGTTCCAGAACATTAATCCTGCCCAGGTTTCACTCTGACTCACAAGTGATCATGAAAAGAAATGGATTTTTCCTACTTTGTAGCCCTCCTCCCCCACTCGGGAACCAGGCAGGGGGAACACATTCCAAACCCTTCTGCAAGACAGTGTTCCTCCATGGGCTGAGAAGACTTGCATTTTTAAATGTGATTTTCCTATCTCTGTTTCCCCTGTTGTGTCCAAGAGGTTAGCAGTGACTCATGTAACAGAGATTAGTGTGTCCACCTCAGCCTCATAAGCCCAGTGAGTCAGGCAGGTTTACTTCCCGGCCCCAGAGCCAACTCAGGAGCTGAATTCCCTCTGGTGGTTGTGCCCCGGCCACAGACAGTGACAAGGCTGGCCTGAGCTTCCTGGCTCTGTCCTGGACCTGGCTCTCATGCCTCCTTTAAAGATGTTCTGGGAGTTCTGGGGGTGAGGTAATCTGTGTAGACAAGGACATGGTCATCAGCTGTGCTTGCCCCTGTGGGACTATGGCTCCAGGACAGCTGGCTCCTGTCCTCCTGCGGCCTCCCTCCTCCACTTGCGCCTGCTCTTCCTGGGCACCGTGGCTGGCGCTCTCCCTGAAATTGGGGATGCCACCTGTGGGTGGTTCTGAGAAGAGCAGGCAGGTGGAAGAGAACCAGGCCCTCTCGACAGCACCCCACGCTAGCTCTCTAGGACAGCCCCACCTCAGGGCCAGTGGGCATGTGGTCACCACCTATCTGCAGAGGCTTCTGAAAACCCCAGGAGGAGACCTCCCTGAGGTGGCTGAGGGTAGGTCGCAGCCCCCTGTTGGAGGCCCTCTCCTTGCTCTGGCTCGTGGGCCACAATGTGAGTATGAGCTCTTCCCTCACAGGTGTTTTCATGCCCATTGGTATTGTGCTGCGGCCGTGGATGGGCTCGGCAGCCATGGCAGCCTCCTCCGTGTCAGTGGTGCTCTCATCTCTACAGCTCAAATGGTGAGTCTGTGCAGGGCGGGACATCCTTGGAGACTACTAGGAGGCCCTGTCACTCTGCATATTCACCACAGGTTGGCACTTACCTCTGGCTCCTCATTCATTCACCTGAGGCAGACACCACAGGGGCAGCCTGTGTGGACTGAGGGTGTGTGTGCACGTGCGTGTGTGCGCATGCGTGTGTGCGCGTGTGCACGCGCTCACTTACCAGCACCTGGACCAGTGATTCACTACTGAACAGAGTAAACTGTTCTCACTGTGCTGCTCAGGGGCTGTTTATGCATCACATAGACTTGAAGTCCCTCTGTATTTTCATTTTTCCTTCTTTAGAAAAGATGCTCATTTATTTGTTAACACAGTCATTTAACCAACATTAATGGCAGCCTAGGATGTGTCAGGCATTTGCTTAGACGTTTCTAATCAGGTGAACTTTACTAGAGCCGTAGGAGTAGTGACCTTTTCCTTTAAATCCTATGAGGTTTAGATATTGAATGTTATTGAAAGATTGATAAGAGGCCTTCACCAGGCTTCAAGAAAAAAAAAAGAACTTGTGTCCAGAGTGGCTCAGATGCTCTTGTGTTCTGGCTCTCCAGCTATAAGAAGCCTGACCTGGAGTGGTACGAGGCACAGGCCCACGGCCGCATGAAGCCCCTGACTGCATCCCAGGTCAGTGTGTACATCGGCATGGACGACCGGCAGCGGGACTCCCCCAGGGCCACGCCGTGGGACCAGGTCAGCTATGTCAGCCAGGTGTCTCTGTCCTCCCTGACGTCCGACAGGCCGTCTCGGCACAGTGCTGCAGCAGACGACAGTGGGGACAAGTGGTCCCTGCTCCTGAACGACAGGGACGAGGAGCAGTACATCTGAGTGCTGCAGGCAGGGGCCACCCAGGGCAGGGCGCCTGCGTCTATTCCATGATTAAGCGGAACAGGCAGCACCAGCAGCTGCAGCGAGAGGAGGCGAGGCTGGCACCGGCTTTGGGGACTTCCATGCCCTGGACTTTTCCGGTCATGCACCCTGCAGCACACGACCTGGAGAGGGCTGCCCTGCCTGGATCCTGCTGCCTTACCACGCTGTTGGCCTGGGCTCTGACAGAAGCCTCACTTGGCTTCTGGAAGACGAGAGACACGTCATCCCCCTCACAGCCCTCTGCCTGTAGGATTTGGGATGTCTACTTAGAAACGAGGGACAGTTTCATCAGGACTGAAAGCCTAGCTGGTCCTTTCCAGAAAACGCCTACAAAACTTGCCATCAGGCTCTTTTTGATGACGCTTGTGTGCGTCATATTCCTGAGGCCACAGTTTACCTCAAGTGCACCCGTTGACCTGTTTTCTGCTAGTACAATCTCTTTCTTTTCTCCCCTTCTGTGTGCTTGTCTTCCTTGACACTGGGGACTCCCACCCCCGCTACACTTGTCAGTCCTGAGGGCAGGATTGACGCCCTAGTGGCCCCTACTGCTGCTCTCGGGGGCTTCTCCAAATGCCCTGGCACGTGCACTTCAGCCTGAGCCTGCTTGCACACTGGCCCCCACCACACGCTCAGCCCCCCACATGCTCACTCCCCTCAGCTCACACGGCCCCTCCCACAAAGTTTGCCATACCTTCTTCACTTGGAGGAGAGTTATTTCTTCAGGTCCACTTCTCTGTGGAGTCATGGCTTCTCCGTAGAATGCTGATGCTGACCAGCTGGTGTGAGGGCCTCAGCCTGAAATGAGAGTCCAAACCTGGCTCCCTGTGGGGTAAGGCACCCAGGGTGTCCTTCTTTATCCTGCTGCAGCCTATGGTGCTCCAAACAGGTGCCCGTGGGAGTCGTGTACATGTAGGAGCCTCCCTGCGTCGCCCCCAAAGCTTCGTTTACAGGTCTGTGTGACTGTCACCTGGTGGGATCCCGTAGAGAATTCATGTCACGAGTGCCCCTGATGTCGTGTAACTCAGAGGAAAGTGTGTTCTCTTCTGCAAGCCTGCCTTCTGCATGCTGCGTGGGCTTCTTGGAAAAGGGGTGGCCGCAGCTTTCCACAGGGAGAGTTCGTGGACCTGTCAGTGGCTCTTCTGTGATGGTGTGACAGCCAGGGGCAGGTACGGGTCCAGTTTTAGACTGATGTTATGGTGATAGACACAACCACACAGGACCAAACTGGTAGGATCAGATGAAATTCTAAGGCGTAGCCCTTTCCTCACACACAAAATCATTTTAGTTACCTATTGAGTGTCGATTGTTTGCCAGGGGCAGTGTTAGCTATATAACTTGTTATAGGTTACCTCTAATCCTTCCATCAAACTAGCAAAGTAGCTATTGTCAACGTTTTGCAGGCAAGGGAACGGGATCAGAGAGGCTGAGTACCTTGCCCAGGTTCACACAGCTGGTATGCATACCATGTTTGCTGGCTCTGAAGGCTTTTCTCTAACTCCCCTGCTGCCTTGGGTGTCCATTTGCTTGATAAGAATAAACAAAAAGGTTTTTACCTCCTGGGAGGACAGGTCTGCCAGGTGGTGTGTCAGTTGTATCAACTTAGAGTGCAGTTGACACAAGGTACCCTTGCCCTCTACTTCCCCTTGGATTGTTAGTTTCCATTTTTGCATATAATGTAGTTTTTGCTGGATTTTATCTTATGAAACCTAAGCCAAGGGTTTTGTTGCGTTTTTATTGTTTTGATCGTGTGTGTCGTCCCCCCCTTCCCCCATCTGTTCACAGTTGTGTCATCTCTTTATTCTAGCTCGGGGAATATTTCTGATTTTCTAACCAGGCTAATCATTATCTAAAGAATCTAATTGTGTTGATTTTTTTCAAACGTAAACATAAGCATTGTGTTCATCTATGGATATGAAAATATTTATGTAATTTTATAGAAAATAACCTTTTAGATGTTTCAAGTATAAAGAGTTTTTTGAAAATTTTCATCAGATAACAATTTCTACTTCAAAAATTTTCCATGTGCTGTTAGAATAAAGTTTATTTTATTCCTTTAAAATCATCTTGACTGGCTCTGCCTGTGAGTGAGACACATGTGAGAGGCCATTGCAGCTCTGTCTTCAGTGAGACGCTGGCTTGGCTCCATAAAAGGGTACGCGAGGTGGCCAGAGCCCAGCACTGGTGTGAGCACCTCTCCTTAATGTAAATGCTGGCCTCCATGGTGTGGGGAGGTGGGGAGGTTTCTGGAAGGCAGCCCCCGTCAGTGTCTGCATTGCTGGACTCCCAAAGACTCCAAAAGAGAAGGCACCATGTCTGAGAGGCTGAAAAAATGGCCCAGAGTCAGCAAACAAGACATGGATTTTATTCAGGAAATTACAGGAAAAGTGATCCAGGAGTGGCTGCTTGACAGGGAAATAACCACTCCCCACTGGAAAAGGCACACAGGTTACATGGCATCTTCCACAGGGCAGAGTGCCAGGCTAAGTGTGAAAAGGGTGGCTTTTCTCGTGCTCAGGCGCAGTGTGAGAACGTGGTTATTTAAACATCATATGCCCAGAAAGGCTGCAAATTCTCTCTAGGGGTGGAATTTTTAGTATTAGAATGAACTAAAGGTAACCAAAGGTTAGGGGCCTTGATCTAGGCATACCCAGTCAGATCTGAACCAGCCCAAGGGAAGCTTACGACCTCAAGGAAGGGTGCACGAGAACATTCACTGTTCACAGCAGCAAGATGTGGGCAGCAGGTTCGCAGAACACTTCATCCATGGCCTCGGCATGCCCTCCATGCCCAGGCACGGATCCCGAGGGGAAGGGGACATCTGGGGTTGGGCACTCCCAGAACCCCTCCCTGAGTCCCAACCACCCGTTTGGGGCCATATTCAGGGTGTGCTCATGTTGTCACTGGGTGTGTCACCCTACAGCATCCCTGCCCCATGGGCCAACGCAGGCTTACATCAACCCACCAATGTGCACTTCTCTGCTTTAGGGTGGCTATCTATAAGACGGCTGTTCTCAGACACATTCACCTTAATCATGAGTAGGTTTTGGGGTCCTTGGCCCTGAAAAATTGGGGCATGGGGAGTAGCAGAAAAATCTGCACCAAGGGGATCTGCTGGGAGAACTCTGAGTATCCTGGGGCGGCAAGGGGGCCCTCAGTGAACTATACCTAAGTGACTAATTTTTCATCCAAACCAGGACACTTTTAAGAGCAGAAGTAAGCACTTTTTTTTTTTTTTTTAGTTGGAGCTTCACTCCGTCGCCCAGGCTGGAGTGCAGTGACACACTCACAGCCACCCCAGCGTCGACCTGCTGGACTCAGGCGATCCTTACACCTCAGCCTTCACTATTAATCGTTACACTAGGACAACTGGCCTAAGCCAGAATTACCCTGGCAAACTGGGACAGGTGGTCACCTTCCTTAAAAGAGATTGACACACAAAACTACCCGCTTTAGAACTTTGCCCAATTGTGGGTTCCAGAGGCATGCTGGTGACGTAATCCTTTATCACATGTCAGTGCTCATCCACCTCTTGGTACCCACACTTCCCTGTTGAATAATTGAGGTGATTATCTTGGGGCTCAGTGTTACTGCACAGCTAGATGACCAGCCCTGGGTGCACCACATACAGGAACATTGCAGATCCTTCCAGCACAGCCTAGAGGACTTCATGCCTTGCGTGCTCAACTAGTTTTTGGAATGCGGGGTACAGAAATTTCATGTTGCATGCAGGTCTCACTGTGGAAAGAGGGTGGTTGTCACTTGGGAAGAGATCCCATTTCTTCAGAAGATAGGTGCTTTCTCAAACTTGAGCAAATTTTTTTTTGATAGATTCCGTTTCCTGCACCAGAATAAGTCACAGTAGTCCTGCTACATTTTCATGTTTTGAGACGTTAGTGAAGAATTGTGATGGCCTTTTATATAAATGAGTGTAATAATTCTAGTTTAAAAACTGGCATTTGGAAAATTGACATGTCATAAAATAGGTCCCCAATTATTCTGCTAATTTACTAAGGAAGCAAGATTAATAAAGGTGACCTTAATTTTTAAAAAATCCAACATAGATCAAAATCAGCCACTCAAGTAATTAGAAGACAATTATTTGAATTACAGAAGAATGGGAGGCTTTTTTTCTCTAAAAAATTTACGTCACTACTTCAGTAGGTAAGTTCCCTAAAGTGTATAAAATTGAGTTGTAAAATGTTTCTTAATTGCATCTTTTGTTTAAAAAAAAAAAGCAAGGAACGCATATACAAGAAATGTTATAAGCCACCACTCATGATGACTCCATTTCCCTTTCCACATTACCTTGATGTGTGGGAAAGCTGATTAGGTATTGGTACGTATTGTGAAGCAGGCGGGAAGGAAACTGCTCTCCTTTCTTCATTTTCAAACTCAACTTGGGCAGGTTCATGCACACTATTGTCTGGGTTTTCATTCCAGAAGGAGATGTCTACTTGTCTGCTGTTTTCCTTTGTGTGAAGACAATGACAATGGTTGAAATTACAGGAAAGAATATGAGAATGTTAAGTAATGCTGCAAAATCCCAGAATCTTTATTCTATTCAAAGAGATGAATAAACAGAGATGTAAAATCACCCAAGGGCTAAAATGAAAACAAGAATTGATGGAAATTTAACATATTTTTCTTCTGAAATGGGGATGGCTATTATTTCTTAATGTAAACATGATAATTGATTATAGCAAAAATTTCAGCCTATAGAAAGTAAGGGGAAAAGCTGCCAAAGAAAGCCCCAAAAGAAAGTCTGTGGACATAATTTTGTGAAGAAGTGTCCTTTGAGGATGGACCGCATCAGGACACCGAGGGACCATAGCCTTCCTGCCCTTTGGTGATGAACCCCTGACCAAGTTATAGCCATCTGAATGCAGAGATGCTATGGTGGTCTCCAGATGGACCTGTTGTTACTCTAGGTCCCAGGAAGGTCAGGCGACAGGCAATGTTCAGATACCTGCAGACTGTTAGGTGCTGGGTGCCTGGGCAGGCTCCATCACTCATGTTTCGTGTCTGGTCCTCACAATGGTGTTAAGAGCCAATTGTGTCACTATCTCATTTCCACAGGCAGGGAACCAAGCCTCAGGTGTTGTACTTCCTGTCCAGAAGACAGCA